GTCTTTGCCGGCTAAGGAGCAGGATGGGTATCTGCCTCTCCGGCGCAACAAGTTTGGCATTCCAAGACTTAGCCTTACCCCTTATCGTAGTTACCTTTTTGAGTTACGTTTGATCCTTCGTTGTGTACCCTTAAGAAAGTAGTTAAACTGGTAGACCCAAAGGTGGAGGATACATAGCAGCCTCCTGCCCAGGAGCAGGTTGTCCTTGGCATAGTAACTTGAGAAGGAGAGGGAGCTTCCGTAGAGGTCAAGAAATTCGGAACGTCGAATGGAGGAACTTCGTCTTGGTATAGGGGCTTGAACAGCTGTGCTACACTTAGGTCCCTGTTCATTGTAATGCCTTCTTGAAACCCTTCTAAAATTATTCACGGGCCGGTGTTAGACTTTTTGGTAGCTCGGCTTAACGGGCGCTAATGAATTTCTTTTGATATCAATGTGCCCACCAACGGGGCCGAGGGGAGAAGACGCAGTATTAAAAGTCTGTACCCAGCGGATATGTGCCATGATTCGAACCTGTCCTGCTTGAATTCCTAGGCGTGCGGCCGTGAGGTGCCCAAATTGTACAGGCCGTGCAAACTCTGAATCAAAGACTTCGGGCTGTAGCGCGAGTAGCTGTAGAGTGTGGAGGTAAACGCAAGACATCCCAGATGGGCCAATGTGCAACCCGAAATCCTCAAATGCCACACCCATATAGCACCCTTGACAGAGTTCCAAAAGAACTCTAAGAACCTATACCCTGTACATCCCAGGAGCCTTTCACGGCATTTTTCAGAGCCCTTCCAGTGCCTTCCAGGAACCCTTAATGGAACCCTCTGGAACCCCAAGTCGGAGCTTGCTATAGAAGGCTGAAGAGTTCGCAATACTCAAAGGGGAAAAGGAGGGACCCTTAATGGGGACCCCTACCCTATAATGGGCTATATAATGGGTATATAGTGGCTATATTAAGTGTATATACCTAGGGGTCCTTATTAAGGGTCCCTCCTTTTACCCTTGGGAATACTATTCCTTGGCGTTTAGGGTTGTATCATCATATTTTTTCAAAACCCAATTGTATTCATTCCCCATAGGCTCCATAGTAGTTCCTTCTTGGGATTACCTCATAGGATCCTATAAGGTAATCCCCGAAGAGGAACTACAATGGAGCCTTATGAGTAAGGCCCCTAGATTAGTACAGGGGCTTTAAATAACCATCTATACTATTTTGGGAGTTCCTTATTGTATTTATATATATATATAGATATATACAACATGAATATATATATATATATATACATATATATGTGTATATATATATAGAGAGAGAGAGGGAGCGAGAGTGTATAATGGCCGCAAAGCCCTATTCTAATTTTTAAGGCCCCTGCACTTATTATATGTGTATATGTATAGAAATATGTGTGTATATATATATATATATATGTACATGTATGTGTATATATATATATATACACATAGTATAATGGCCCCCAAACCCTATTCTAATTTTAAGCCCCTTTACTTATATGTATAAAGTATAATGGTCCCGAAACCCTAGTCTAATTGTTAACCCGACCCCCCCCCCCCCTTACAAGGTTCTTGATCCTAGATAAACCCATGAACCTCCAAGTAGATTGCTGATCCGAGGTCTTCCTCCGCTGTGCGGATGCAGCTAGATGCGCTTTGCACACTGCGACACCGCTCTGAGAGAACGTGCCTTGCAGAGTTTAGGGCTTCATAGGGTGTAGGGTTTCCAGGCATTTAGGGTTTTACTAGGGTTTAAGGGTTTGTTTAGGGTTTAGGGTTTAAGGGTTTGTTTAGGGTTTTACGGGTTTGTTTAGGGTTTAGGGTTTGTCTTGTCGGGGTTTGAGGGTTTAGGGTTTACGATACTTGCCAGCGCGTTTGCCTTCAAGTTAGTCGTCAGCCCACCGGAAAAGCACCGCACTCGAAACCATGCAAGTCTGTACCCCTCAAACCTGAGACTCATCAACTTTTGAGCTTCAGAGCATCAGGGACACTTCACGTGCTCTGTAGGGCTGAATCTTGCTTGGCTCAGGTGATGCATGTAAGCGGAGGTCTAACAGCCCTCACTCACGAGGTGTTCCTAGGGTGCTGATCAGCATTGCCCAAGGAGAGGCTGGAGGGAAGTCTAAACCCTACACTTCCTAGCCGTATAACTAACAGCCTTTTGGAGGTGTTGGGCCACTAATTCACCTGCTCTTGCGGGTTTCAACCTTAAACCCTAGGTAGCGCTACGGTATCACAGGTAGTTGATACTGCTCGAAACGAGCTGTGAGCTGGCTCGAGCCAGTTGTCTTGGGACGAGGTCCGAGTTGGGTTCAGGGTTTAATATTAGGGACCTCAATAATTACCTATACTACTTTGATCGTTCCCTTCTATAGTTACATAGTATAAGGGTCCGCAAAACCCTACTGTAATATTTAGGCCCCTATATTAGGGTCTCGGGTCTACAGTTTGGGGTTTCGGGGTTTTCAGGCTTTTGCGGTTTAGTTTAGGGCTTATGGTGTGATGGCGCTGGTCAATGTGCTGCTAGTAGCCGAACCCCGCTGTACGAGCGAGAAGGCCCCACCTGCTTTGAAACCCAGGTATTCAAAGTCAGCGCCCCATTAAACTCTACTTGGAGGTTCATGGGTAGGCTTATAAGTAGGGTAACTATACTGATAACCCATATCAGGGGACTTATAAGCCTACTTATACCCACCCATGAACCTCCAAGTAAGCTTCATCACAACATTCAAGCTCAAAGCCTCGACAAAAAAGCTGACCCTAGGCCTGAAGCCTGCAGCCTCTAAAAGCCCTAGATGCGCAGCCCTAAACTTCCGGCCTGATTCTGCAAAGCCTGATATCCCAAGCCCTAAACTCTAAGTACAGTAGAAGCCCAAAAGTTGGAAACCCAATAGCCTCGATCCTTCAGTTTTTGCATAGGGATTCCCAGCACTATTTGGCCTTAATTCGGTTTCTAACGTGAGGGCTTTTACTGTAGGCCTAACCTTAACCCTGAATGACCTACCTTTTAAGGACGCATATAAGGAAATCATAATAAGGAACCCTAAAACGGTAGGTTATTCAGGGTTAAGGAAGCCCTTAGCTCCCACGAGGCTGCTGTTGGACAGCCGACTGGGCCCCATCTTCCTCGCACAGCTGTTCCTTGGTTTGGTTGGCTTGTCTTCCAGCCTTCAGGATATGTATCTCTTCAAGCCCCCATCAGGGCAAGATGTTAAAGACGCAACATGGAACTCCATTTTATCGAGATTTTTCAGGATGCCGGATCCCTTGACCTATTCTTGAATAAGCTGGAGCTGTGCTTTTCGGGTTGAGGTTTCGGGGGATGTTATTCACATGGATGTGTTGTACTGTGGCAGTATAGCCTGGGCATCATGGCATCCTTGACTGCGGAACAAAATGGGTGGCTGCTGTATGCTAAAGGATCTCTTTAAGAGTCCTGCCTTGAAAGGAACAATGCATCCCCAAGTTGCGAAACTTGAGTAGAAACAGGCAGGCATAGTCCTAGTCCCGAGAGGCCACCTTCAACTCCCAAAGCGCAGTGTTACGTCTTTGTAGCCCTGACATCAAGTTAGAGATTGTCTTAATGTCATGAGCTGACGACATGCCCGAAAGCTAATGGGTAGTGACGAGTCGAAAATGAGAGACGACATGTATACAGTAATGCATACACATGCATATACATACATGCATATTCGCGTGCATCGCTAACTGGTAGACCGAGAGAGAGCGAGAGAGAGAGAGAGAGAGATAAAAAAAAAGGAAAGGAAGGATCTAACAGCTTGTGCCCGCAAGCGCCACCATTGGCTCCTTGCATGTCCAACTATTGTTGTGTGCCACCCAACACTCCGACAGCTTCTATCTCACAAGCAAGACCAATACCCTGAATCTCAACAGCCGGCCTCATCGAGGAAAATGCAGATGTTCGTTGACACTACGGTTTGGACAGCCATCTCGCTGTGGCCAATCGTTACTTTCCATGACCTGGAGTTGACAATCATGAAGGGATCAGAATCTCGGCATTGCCTGGTGGACCTTAAACGACGCGTCTCATTGTGCAATCTGCTCTTGGAACCCGAAGGGTCCTAGGTACTGTTATGGAGAATACTTCCCCAAATCATAATAGTATTAACTAATATGGAAACCCTACATTCTACTATATCTTTGGGGAACCCGAAGCAGTACTCCCACGGCCGAAAAGGCGCACTACTGCCCTCTGCTGTCATGCGCACAAGATTTCTGTGGGCGATCGGGTTCCCAGCAGCCCCCTGCATCCAAGCTGTTTCAATCATTGGCCTTATGCCCTTGGCAGGTTTGCCAGTGCTGGCCCTTGACAATACACACGCTATATATATATAATATAATATTCTATATTATAATATACATATATATATATATATGTAATTTCTCGAAATCCGTAGCGCGGAACTTTGAACCTGTTGAGTCGAAGGCGTTACGTTGTCTTTGTTCTGTCCCTGCGGCCTGGGTCCTAAGCCCTCGCACTCCCCAGTCGCTTAATTGGGTTTCCGAAAAATAGGGGTACCTTACAGTATTATTGGGTCCTTATAATAAGTATCCTACCATTTAGGGTACTATTGACCTCCTAAATGTACGGAACCTGAAAAGAACCGCTTCCGAGAACGGTGCCTGAACTCGGAGTGCCTTATAAGGGGTTTGGCAAAGCCCGTGTGACAACCAAGACCACGAGCCCAACGCTTGTACGGCCCTTTAGAAATTTACGAGAATATCTCTGAAGCCCTGCATGAATCCTAACCTGTGAGCGTAACATGGTAAAATCCTTTCAAGTGAGCTCTCAACCGTTTTGCCTTTATGCTTAAACCCTACCCTAAACCCTGGACTATTGGAACCGGAAAAGGGCCTGAAAAAAAAAAAAAGGGAACCTGTAATTCAGCCGAACTAACCTCGGGGTCCCTTGCTTCAAGGACTTCCGGCAGCTGCATTGCTTCGAAGACGGCGGCCTTGGAAGCCTTCGGTATCATCCCATGGTGGCTTCGCTAGTTGTTGGTTTACCCAAAGGCTCCATGTACCCATATAGTAGGTACTTTGGCCTTAAAGGGGCCACTATATAGGTACTTTGAGGCCTAAGTACCTAGTATATGGGTACATGGAGCCTTTGGGTTAATGTTTTTTTTCTAAAGGTTGCGGAGGGTTTAGGGTTTAGGGTGCTGGCCGGCACCTCAGTCCGTGCTGAAAAGGGTCTCGCTTCTCAGATGTCATGGGTTAAGGGCTCCGCTTTGCCTGAACTTACCACATTCACATAGGTCTATAAGTCTCACCATCATGGAAGTAACTGAAGGATGCTGAAGGTTGTGTCATATCCGACGGTCCAGGTACCTAGAGGGTCATACCCTACCCCTTTTGGAGGGTACCTAGTTTTATGGTAAGGTTCTCTTATGTATAAAAATTTACGTACCTTAAAGAAGGGGTAGGGTATGACCCTATAGGTAGATGCTCTGTGCAGACCGAGGTGGCGCATTTCTTCTTCGGCCACAAGGCCCGGCCGGGCCGAAGCACCTGGAGAAGGTTGTTTTAAAGGGTTTCATTTAATTTAGCCGTCATGGTGTGTGCAGAATCGGCTTCTTGGGAAAGTTCTCGTGTGTGTCTCTCTGTGTGTGTGGGTGTGGGGTGTGTGTTGGAGGGGGTGGGTGGGTGGGTGGGTGGGTGGGTAGGTGTAGATTTTGGGTGTTCTTGTTGGACACGACAAATACTAAGTAGTACTAGCAAGCCTTCACCTGACTAGGGAGCCATTGAGTCTTATTGGGGTTCTTGATACTGGACCCAATCACGTTTGGGATAATAACATGGAGCCACGGGTTTCAGAATAAGCCGTCCGAAATCCGCGCCTGTGGGCTCCGCAAAAGGACCAGGGAGTTGAGGATTGAATCAGCTTTTCAGTCTGAGTGTGGGATTTCGGCGTGCCGAAGGCATTGAAGGGTCTCGATTCAGAGACCCTAAACCCTAAACCCTAAACTAAACCTTGGCTCGGTGCGTACTTGTTGGTGTGCTGTAATTGCCTGGCAGGACCTCCTTTCATCGGTGAAGTGCGCCATCGAAGTCGTTGTCCCGATGAAACCAGAATACCCTTAAACCTTCAAACCATCCTACTTGTAATCCTACCTGAACCCCACACAACCTCCCTTTTAATAAGGGTTCTCATTATGATTTTCTTACATAAAACCTCAAAGGTAGGAGCCCTTTGGCCTGGGTCTTCTAGGGGTAAAACGGCTCGGTGCTCCGACCACGCTTTACACTGGGTTTCCCGCTGCAGGAGTTGCGATCGCAGCCACCCACCGACTTCCCCAAGTGCCTCAGCAAGCATCAGCCCGCTATCCGGAAAGCACGATGGGGTCCAGAGACCCCTGCTTGGAGGTTCATGGCTAGTCATAAGTTGGGTTATAACTAGGGTAACTTTAGTTATAACCCATATCAGGGGACTCATATCCCACTTAAAGGGGAGTGACATGCGACAGGTAGTCACTCGCTGGGGATGCACAGTTGCGTTGGCCATGTGCGATGTTTGTAGTTGTAGTTTGGGCACAGTCGAAAACAGTGCCGCTGTTTGCTGAACCTCAGGATTACTGGCGCGCAACTGCTGTCCTTAATGCTGAAAAGCTGGCTGAACGACGAGCCTGGCCCTTTTTCGGTGTCGTTTCTGTCCAAAAGCAGGTCTTGTTTTCTGGTCGGAGTTGTTTCGTCGGGGTTTTCATTTGAGGCCGATTTCTTTGCTGCACCAGCCTCGCTGGAACGCAGAATTATTGTGTGTGCGTGTGTCGCTTGAAATGTGTGTTGCTTGTGTGTGGCATGGCTTGGAGGTTCATGGGTAGTTTCAAGTAGGGTTAGAAGTAGGGTAACTATACGTATAACCCATATTAGGGGACTTATAACCCTACTTAAATTACTTATGAACCGCCAAGTAGTAGCAGTATCAGGGGCTCAACTGTCACATCGGCGAGCCTGTCCTGAGGCGGCCCTAAACCCTACACCCGAAAACAGGTTCAATCCTGACGAGTTGTGATCCCACAGATTCCCACTTTCTTTGGGTTAAAATAAACGGGTCTATAGTAAGAATTAGGGTTTAGGGTTTAAACCGGGTTAAGGCCAAATAGTGCTGGGATTCCCTATACGTTACTTTTAAGGATTGAGGCTATGGGGTTTCCAACTCTTGGGCTTCTATTGTACTAGAATCCCACATACCCCCCAAGCTCAACCTTTAACTTAGTTCCCCAGGATACTCGGCAAGTGGGGATTCCAATAGAAATGTCTTGGATCCTTAAACACCTCGGCTTTGGACACTTACCAGCTTCACAAGTGCACGTGTTTAACAAGTTTGTCAAACAACATGTTCAAAGCTGGTTCAGCACGGTTTACGCGTTCAAGTTCCTACGCCTACACGAAGCGATCTTCTCACACTTTCGCGCACATACACCAAACGATGCTTTCAGAATTCGGCATCAGTGATTGAGCCGAAGCAGCCAAGCATAGCAAGCCCACGCCCATGGTTTAGGGTTAGGGTTTAGGGCCCTCAACCCCCAACGACTTAGCGGCACATAGCTCTTCGTTTGGGACCAGCCGTCGTGAGCTTTGACTGCCTTCTGCGAGTTGTGAGAGTCAGAACCCAGAGAGGATTCCTGCTGAGGTCTTCTGCAAGAGGGTTTAGGGTTTACTAGGTAGGGCTTCAGAACCGTTTTATGTAGCCTCTTATTGGGCTTAAGAGGATCTTACCTATTAATATGTTACAAAGGCTTCAGAAGCACCTCCTAGGTTTAGGGGAAATGCTACGGAAGAGTAATCTCTTGCGCTGTGACCATCAGTTAGTTGACATCCGCTCGTGCTATACTCGTAGGTGGCTGGGTTTCTCTACTGCCAGGTTAAAGAGTGTTGATGAGTACGTTTATAAGTATGCGTCTTAGGTCTTTTTGTGGTCTATACAGCATCTGTTGCGTTGTAGGGTCTAAGGGTCATGGTTGTTGCGCGCGGCTGCTATACACACATGAACTGCAGCTATAGTTACTTGGAGGTTCATGGGTCGTCATAACTAGGGCTTATAAGTAAGGCAACTATACTTATCACCCCTTCTAGGGGACTTATAACCCCACTTTTCACTACCCTAAACCCCTACAGAACCCTTTAAAGGAACCCTTAAAAGAACCCTTAATATGTAACCCCACTTGTAACTACCCATGAACCTCCAAGTAGTCGCCTGATCCTGTAAGTAGGCCCTAAACCCTGAGCCCGAGGCCTTGCATCCGAAAGCCCTCAGGCCCTTTGGACCCTAACGCGTTTACCCGACTTCCTACTTGGAGGTTCATGGGTAGTTTTAAGTGGGGTTATAAGTCCCCTAAAAGGGGTTATAAGTATAGTTACCCTACTTAAAACCCTACTTACCCTACTTAAAACCCTACTTATAACTACCCATGAACCTCCAAGTAAGGCCATTCGTATCCCCTGACAAGGACAGTGGCTTCGATGTCGGCAAATTCGAGAAAGAGTGGAACCTGGAAGGAGGTGCATGTGAGCTCTAAGCGGGGTGTAGCGATGAGCATACAGTTCGGGCTTTTGGAAGGGCTTTCACGATTGCGTTTTTCAACACTCAGCGCTGCCTTCGTTAGTAGTTTTGTGGCACCACCGGGTTTGTGGATTTTCAGCATATAGGGCCACTTGCGGGGCACCTCACATGTGTGGGTGTCCTCACCTTCACATTATGGGTCCGGAACAGGGGCGGAAGACGGTATCCTACGTTGGGGGTTGAGGGTTTAGGGTTAAGGTTGTATGCCTTATGTACCTCGGATTTTCATGGACTGTCCTATACTAGGCTCAGCTGTTGTATCCATATGGAGGTTCCGTGGTGTTTTGTGAAGCTCTCCTTTGCAATGCTCTAAGGTTGGTGACATGAGTGGGGGCTGTGCCCACACCCTCCGTTGTAGTCCCTTGTTCCGGTTACCTCGTTTCCTAGAACTTTAAGTACACTTGGGAGCTGGCTGCTGTGAAGAAGTTGCGGGCTCCTTCCCCCATGCCATCCTCGCGTTACTCTCCAGTCCAACCATTACCTCATTGCCTCATTGCACGGTTGGCATGTTCCACCTTTAACTTAACTCTAAACTTTAAACCGTGAACCTTCAACCCTAAACCCTGAACTGACTGAGAGTCCAAACCCTACAAAATCTGAAAGCCTAACTCTAACCTTCCCACACCCTGAACCGTTCAAGGTTCCGAAATCCTCAACCCTAGAATGGTCCTAAACCTGAACCCTACCTTGACCGCCCAACTACCCTCTGCTATACCCTAGACACCCACTATTCAGGACCAGAAGGTCTTTGTGAAGGGGCACTTGGGGGGGGTGTGCGGGTAAACCCGTTAAGGAATCCTATAAACCCCTATAGACTTCCTACAGTCAAGGTTCTGAAACCCCTTAGTAGCTGAGTGGATACACTTTACACTTGTTGGGATAATATCACCCACTATAAAGCCCAAAAGTGTACACTTTTTGGGGGCTTATGAACTCAACAACTAAGGAAATCCTATAAACCCGTAGACTTCCTTTCCTACACTCAAGGTTCCGAACCCCCCCCCCCCCTTTTTTCTTTGAGGTCTAACTGCGGCGGCTAAAAGCCTGGGTCTTCCCAACTACCGGTGTCTGCTGGCATGGCATTCCCAGAGAGCCCAAGACCCCTTAATTAAGGAATGTGCCTTACACCCTTAAGGGCTTCATATTATGATTTAAGCTATATTCCTCAATTAAGGGGTATTGGGCTCTCTGGGTTGTAGCTTCTGAGGGGGCTCTGGGTTTCATTAGGGTTCGGAATTGTTCATAAATGCTTAACGGTTTAGGATTATAGGCAGTGGGGGAAGTTAAGTTTAAGCTTTTGTTGCTTTTGCTTATGGTGTCTGGTCCTTGAAGAAGAGAGAAGGTTAAACAGTGTTGGACCCAAGCCCCACACCCAGCGTCATGGAAGCACAAGTGCTGTAGAGACCCTCAGACGCTTAGGGAGCTAACGTTGCAAACGACACGTTCATTCTGACACGAATGACTATGCTATGGTATGCGGAACATGGCTTGCATTTGATTGCCGAAAGCGCCACAGGAGAGCACATGTTTGTCCGCACGAACAGAAATCAGCTGCAGAACCAATAGACAGTCGATCTAGACTATGTCGCTACGCAGCAGTGTCTTGGCACCACATCTTGTGTTTTCGGAAGCTTTCACCCATAAGCCCGAATTCACGCGACCCTATTGAGCCCTGCCCAACGCCTGCATCCTCCACCTATTTCATCCACAAGCTGTAGTGTTTCTTGTGTTTTGTTGCTGTTCTCCGGCGCGTCGGTGTGGAGGACACTGGAGAGCTTGCCAGCGAATTGATTGAGTCGTAATGGGGAAGCCTGCATTGATTTATGCTTCAGGTTAGTCATTATAAGTGTACTAAGTATGCTATAATATACCCCACAACCCTATTCTGTGACTCCTGTTTATTCGTTTTGAAGTTGTCCGACGCTTTCTCACATAGGCCGAAACGAGTGACGGACTCACCCCAAGCCGAAGCCCAGAACAGCCAGGTGTTCACCTTGCTTTGGGGTTTAGGGCTTAGGATTTAGGGCTTAGGGTTTATGGTTTATGAGGTTACAAGCCGCATCTTTGCAAGGCATCCCATTTCGCCCCCTCTGGAGCATTTGAGGCATTGGGGTGCACGTGCAGCGCGAGTTCCTCTCCAAGTTCATCATCAAGTCCGCCCTGAAGCACAAGAATAAGACCCTAGGCGCTGGTTACAGCACGGACGTAATTTTGCAGGTCGAATACATAAACTGCAACTGCCTGGGGCCTAGCACTGATGATAAGCTCATTAGTCGCGCAAGGTACATAACCAGAGAGCCCAATACTTACCCCTTAATCAAGGAATGTGCCTTACACCATTAAGGGCTTCATATTATGATTTAAGCTATGTTTTCTTTAATTCTTTAATTAAGGGGTCTTGGCATTGGGCTCTTTGAGTAACCTTGGACAGTGCTGGTGTGGTCCAACGCCTAAGTTTCCAGTTTCCGGAGTCCTTTTCAGGCGTCTCGATGCCATGTCGCGCAGACTCTGTGGCTCCATGACTATTTCTGCGTGGTGTGAATTAGCAACCCAAGAAAGGGTCCTATGTACTGTTATGGGGAATACTTCCCCAAATCATTTTTTAGTAGTTCCTAATATAGAAACCCTACATTCTACTATATCGGTACTTTGGACCCTTTGGGCAAGCATCCGCGGGATGAATATGGTTGTAACCGCTAGACTCAGAAAGCTGACACCAGCAGTGCCAAAAACAATAAATGCAATCAAACACTTCTTGCTCCGCTGCCTGAGGATCGAAAAGCAGTGCAAAGACCTCGTCCAGGAGTGCGTAACAGGAGGACAGCTGTTTAAGATAGTTAAGCATGCGTTTTCGGTCGATGATATAAATCTTGCATGACCCATAATAAGGAATCTGCCATATTTCCTATAGTTTAGGGTCATTAAGGTATTGCAGGATGTATATCATCAAACGTTTTCAGATGAGTTTGAACCCCGTCGAATGTCAGCTTCCCATGGATTCTGCAGTGTTTTAAGTTCTATATGAGTTGCGCTCTGACTTCAGCCGGGGTTGAGGTATCAATTTAAAGACCATGGGCCCGTCAAATCCTTGACAGCACGCATGCGGGGAGTCTCGACAGTTAGTAACCATCTCAGCTATTGCACGTTGAGGCTTCTACCGTATATCCCACAAGCAAAAAAGGAATTCCCGGAAACCTCACATAGAGTTCAGCAGGACACTTGGGCACTTTCCCTGCCTGGGATCACGACCGTTGGCGTGCATTCTTCGAGAAGCTCAAAGGCTTGTCATCTGTGCCCGAATCTTGGCAGGAGGGTGCTTAGAACCTGAGAGTTCAGAGCTTAGGATGTAGAGCTTCGAGTTTAGGATTGAGGATTGCGGCTTGTAGGGTATAGCGGGCAGGTTAGGCGTGGATTTAGGGTTGAGTCTGGACGCATGATCACGGGGTCTTACCGTAAGACCTACTTAGCGCTACTCCGACCAGGCCAAGACCGACATGCAGCCCTCAAGCATGCAGCTCCTGCTGCGAGCATGCATGTACGTACGTACAATTACGTACATACATACGTACATCCTCACATACATACACATATCTTCCACATCGTTACATCACACACCTATACATTCATACATACATATATACATACAGACACCCGTACATCCTTACATGCATACATGCATAAATATATATACACACACCCATACATACATACATACATACATACATATTCTACAGACATACATGAAATCATGGGTGCAAACAGACAACAAGCCATGTATAGATAGATACATAAGTTTGTACCTGCTTACATACGTACACACAGTCATACATGCACACATGCCTACATAAATGCATACATATCGTTGTGCACAAATGTACGGACATACATACATGTGCACCTTCTTACAGTTGCATCTAAGTATATGTTTATGTTATAGCTTTGCATACATATTCACACATATGTATACAGTGTGCATTCCAATCACGATAATGTTCAACGGCTTGGTGCTTAGCACTGCATTATTCGGCTTTGACGGGCTGAACTATGTAGAGTGCAATACCCAACACTTAGCATGTATATTGAATATGCCTTGCTGCATTGAAGTGTAAGTTTATCTGGCTAACTGGGTTGTAACTGCATGCAAAACTCAGCCCCATTATCTGTGCTGCGAGGGGTCTTTTGTGCTATATATTGTCCCTACATCAGCTTGTGTAGGAGTTGGCCCTCTCTCTCCACTTCTCAACCCCATTAGTTTGCACTTCTCAACCCCATTAGTTTGCATTGATCTTCCTTGATCGGTTCAAGCACCTACCCATAGTAGGGTTATATGCATGGCTTAGCAAGCTTCTTCTGCCTTGACAGGCCTAATTCTGTTGTTAAGAGGGTAGTTATGTGCAAGTCGCAGCACTATGATTCTGCCTCGATGTGTTGAAGCATTGTCCTGCATCAGGTCGCATGGTATCTCAGGCTTTGCTGCATATATGAGACGGTGGTTATGTTGCGAATCGTCGACTTGCACCACACTCTAAACCCTAAAACCCTGTGGCCCTAAAGCTTGGATAACACAAATCTCTAGAATCTCAGACGTGTACACTCTGAGGAACAGCTATTCTGCATCAAGGAGGTGCTCCGAAAGGAGGTCAGGGAGCAAAGGGAGTTTGGTTTAAGGTGCAGTTTCTCAGGATCATGGATATATACCCATAGGCGCCATAGAAGTTCCTTTTCGGGATTACTGCATAGGATCCTAAACAAAACATGAACCACAAAAAGCAACTACAATGGAGCCTATGGACGGTTGTCTTCTGTGGGAGGTACATATTACTAAGCGGTGAACCTTCAACTTCTCAGCATCGGGAATCTCAGCAACCAGAACAAAGGGTCATTGCAGGACCGTGTGTCATATCCCGAGGCAAGACAGGCGGAGAGTGACGAAACTTTGATGGAACGGAATGGATCGACGAGTTTCTTGTGACCACCCATAGACGTTCGTCTGGGAGCAGAAGACTTCAGTAGGTTGAGGCATACCAGTCTCGGAACATGCCGCAGCAATATAAAAAACTAGCCACGAAGAGTGTTTCCGAACACCCTGGCTGCGGGGCTTGTCTTTCTCCAGACCCCCTGGAATCTTTCTTTACAGCCACACGATAATTTTGTTTGCAGTTTCTGACTTGTGGTCTGGAAAAAACGTTCGTCTTTTTTCTGGCCACACATTGTGGCCCAGAACAAGACAACTGTTTTTTTTGGGTGCTGCTGTGCCGCCATTAGCGTGCACACAGCAGTGCCGCAAGTTGGCGCGGAGTTCGTGTGGCTTCTCCTTCTTTCGTGTCGGGGAAAACGTGTTTGTTCAGTTGTATTTTCGATGATTTCATTTCATATTCTTCGCTTTGAACTCCCTAAAGCGATTTCTTGTGGCTTCTCCTTCTTGTGCGTCGAGCGAAGCTGTTGCATTTGACCACCCTAATGCGATTTCGTGTGACTGCTCCTTCTTGTGTCTTTGGAACTTGTCGAATCTCAGCTATGTTTCATTCATTTTTCGTCGCTTTTCACCCCACTAAAGCGATTTCGTGTGGCTTCTTCTTCGTGCGTGTAGGAGAAGACGTTCTTGTTTGATTTTATTTTCGGCTCCACAGTATTTTATTTTATTTTCAACCCTCTAAAGCAAGTTCGTGTGTGGCTTCTCCTTTTTTCGTGAGCGGTCAGAAAAAAGACCATGGAGGCCCCGAAAAAGATGCCCAGGGGTTCAAAAAGAGACCCGGGGTCAGCTATGAGAGGTCTCGGGGCCCAGAAAAGGACTGCGTACATCAGAGCGTGCTTGGAGGTTCATGGGTAGTTATAAGTAGTAGGGTAACTATACTTTCACCCATATTAGGGGACTTACAAACCCACTTATAACTACCCATGAACCTCCAAGTGGATGATGTCGAAAAAGCGATCGTAGTCTCTTTCTCGACCCCGTCGGGGGGTTGGACACAAAGCGGTCTGGAAAAAGACATTTCGGGGTCGAAGAGAAGAGAAGCGCAAATGCATACCAATGAATCCTGAGGCCACCGATTTTTTCAACCAATAGGAAGCCTTTGCAGAAAAGCTCGACAAACATCCTGCTGCATCCCTGTAAAACAGTGATTCCTAAGGCATCCTCGGACCCCTTCGCACAAATGGGGATCAAACCTGAAGCCATCTTGCCCTAAGCCTTCCAGTATTTAAGATAGTTTGCAACTGGAAAGGGGTTGATGCAATGGCTGATTGCGCAAAATGCTCCAGAGTCAATCCGAAATCCGCAATCCGTACGCCTCCACAGCCAAAAGTGTCTCCCTACACCCGATTCTTCGCAATCCTTGCCTGAGATCTTGGCTCTTCGGAACCTGAACGAGGACGACGTCGAGGCCAGTTCTTGGAATGCTGCTGGTCGTTTTCTTATGGGCTGTAAACTCAACTTTTCAACTTTTGGGGCTCTTAGAAGGTATATAGTCGATTCTGAAAGTTTCAACTTTCATTTTATTGGGTTTTGGGCCAGTGAGTTTTTGCCAGGCTTCCAGGCACTGCCGAGTTTCTTAGAAGCTGAGTGGATGCACTTCACACTTTTCGGGATAATATTACCCACTATAAACCTGAAAGTGTACACGCTTGGGGGGCTTATGAACTCAGCAACTAAGGTTTGGCATCGCCCTGATTTCGATTTTTGACACGAAAGCCTAAGCCTGACTAAGCTCTAAGTGCATACCGGGTTCCTTTGAAGGGGTCTGTACGGGATACTGCAAGGGATCTATAAGGGTTCTATACTCTCATGATTGTCTTAACCATAAAGCCCTGAATTCTGAGGTCTGGAGCTGAATTGTCGAGGCTCAGGCTCAGAACCCCAAGCAAATTCGGGTTCAAGATCGAATGGTTCATTCTCTGGTGGAGCCCCCTGGTTGATCTCAGTTCAGGGTTCGTGTTGAGGTTTTGGGCTTTTTTCTGGACAGGCATCCGTGGAGAAGACCTTTGCCCCGTTGCTGCTCCTCGCCATCTCATCCGCACATGTGTCCTGCAAGGCCAGGTGGCAGATCGGTCGGCGACTCTGAGTTGCTGTGTAGACACACAGTTGCTTGCATCCATCAACCCACCCATGTACACATCTCTATGTATGCATATGTATATATGTAGGTATGTAGGTATGTACGTATGAAGAGAGGGAGGGAGAGAGTGAGGGAGGGAGGGCCGGAGGAAGGATGGATATGTGCCTGCGCACATACTGTAGACTCTTTCAAACCGCATATATCTATATACACATTCATAGAAACATGCATGCATACAGACATACATACACATATAATTTGTATAACTATACAGATACAGACATAGATAGAGAGAGAGAGAGAGATAGAGATAGATATACAGATAGAGATACAGATACAGATACATATATAGTTATAGATATAGACATATATATATATATATATATATGTTGCGCGTGCATCCGTTTGTGTGTGTGTGCGTTTGTGCGTATCACTGAGTGTAGTTTTATGTATGTAGTTATGTCTATATGTATGTATACGCACATAAATGCGAGAAAGATTTACATAAATGCGACTTGCCGGAGACGCACCGAAAGAAAGAAAGCTTCCCTAGGAAACCACAACTTTAGTGACGTATTCCCGAAGGTTCGATGCAGCCATACAATAATATGTACTTAGGCCTTAAAGTGCCCATATAGGAACCCCTTTCAGCCAGAAGATTTTGTACTATATGCCGACCATGCAGCTTTAGGGATTCTTCTAGGCTTTCTTCGTTTGTGCTTGGCAGGCAGGCAGCGAGAATCAACCTGCAGACTTGGCGAACGCTGCGTCTTGGACCTCCACGGATTTAGGGTTTGGGGGTTATATAAGGGTTTAGGGTTTGGGTGTTTAAGGGTTTGGCTCTCATATCGAAGACCTTAAAACTGAGCCCGAAACCCTGAAGCTTGTTGGATTTGAGAGCACTCCTTCCAGATTTTCGGCTTCTTTGCTGGAGTTCAATGCCTGCCTCATGGGGCTTTGTTCGTCGGATGCCTCGGCAGGCGGGAAATGGTGTCAACAACAAGATCCTGAACCCCACACGCTGACCTTGCTCTTTGCATGTTTTGCCTGAGCTAGCCTTAGTTCATCCGCACGAGACCGTGAGACCCCATTGATTGGCAAGTCCTGATTGTGAGAGCGAAAATTCTCAACCCGAAACGCTAGCTGGTATGAGGGTGTACTATAGTCTTCTTAGGAATTATTTTGGATTTTTGTTCATATAAAATCCAACAGACTATTGAGCACATTATGTTTATTATGGTTCTAAAGGGGGGGTCAGTTTAGAGTGGAGTTCCGACGTTAGGCATCATGCATTCATTATCAGGGCCCTAAAAAGTAGAACGGGCTGTGTCGCTGTATATGACATTGCCACGACAAGGATCTAAATGTGTTTTCCCACAATGTGGATCTAGTTACATACCCAGATTTTGAATATCCACTACATGGGTAGTTGTAAGTCGGGTTATAAGTCCACTAGTATGAACCATCAGTATAGTTATCGTACTTAGAACCCCACAATAACTACCCATGAACCTCCTAGTCTCGTTAGGGCGAATTGGAAGTTGTGCTTATTATATGACCTCAACCCAGAAAAGCCACATCGAGCTTCCAAGGGTCTCCATAAGCCCTTCATCGAATCACCCAAAGGCCTTCAGAGAAATTTAAGTTGGAAGCTCGAAAACCCAAAACCTTGAAACCCTCAGAGAACCGCAATCTGTCTGGTTCTTGGTAGGGAATGGGGGAATGGCTCCCTATGATAGTCTCTTAAGGGTCCCTCATAGCCTAGAACCCGTTCCCCCGTTCCTACTAAGAACCCTAAACCCCTATAGTCTAACCCTTACAGTGACCCTGAAAGGAACCCCTTTCCCTACTAAGAACCCGGCAAAGAAAGGGAGCCCTCCAGGTGCGGCAGCTGCAGCAGCTGTTGCCAGCAGGCTGGAGCCTGGAAGAAGCCGAGAAGGCAATGGGATTTCTGAGAAATTGCAGTTCGAATTTGGGGAAGAAGCCCCAAAACCCGACAACCCAATCTAGTAGAGGGTTTAGGAGTTGAAGTTCGAATTTAGGCTTGAAGCCCCAAAAGCCGAAAACGTTTAGGAGACTCAGACTTAGAGTTCGTAGGGTCTTGGATCTAGATTTGGGAGGTTCCGAAACTACGGAGGTACCTGGTGTTGGGATCCTTATAACAGGGATCCTACTATCTAGGGTACTAGATTAGGGTCCCCTATTTTCGGAAATCCCCATTCAGATTTCGGGGTTAGGGTGTCGGCCACAGGTCCATCAAGCCAAGCAGCAAGTCCTGGGCTGCGAAGTTCAGAAAGTTGGAACATGCCTGGTAAAACCTAAACCCTTCAAACCCTAAACCCACAGAGACCTCGTCCTCCGAGTCCGAGTTGCGAGAGTGTTAATGCCGTTTGTCACGGGACTCCGTACATTTGACACAAAGGGTATTAGGATACGATTGTTCCAGCTTTCTGCCTTCTACCAACTTACGGGTTTACGGATTCGGAACAGGGACACAGGGTTTTGGACTTGAGCTGCTTGGGTTCAAGAATTCAGGTTTCAAGGTTTAGATGTATAGGAACCCATGAGTTAGATTACCTGTCTTTCCGTGGCAGCCCTCCACGGATCCAAATATTCCGAGGATGTAAGTCTGCAAAGTAGATCAATGAATGTATCGTACTTGGAATGTGGGGTTTTGGGAGGCTTAGAGTTTTAGGACTTACGATTTCGAGTTCATACCGGGCGGAGGGAATAGGGTCACAGTGTTTTCAATCATCAGGAAGCCTGGCAAATGTTTACGCACGCAGCCTGTAATTAGTCCTACGTATTCTTATATACAAATACAAATTTAGATGCGTGCGTGTATGTGTGTATATATAATGCACCACAAGATGCCACAAGTACAATTTCATAGTTCTAATGATCGTGAAAGAGATATCGTACTCAGGGTCACAGCCTTCCTCATCCACCCCTCCAACACTGTGACTAACTTAGGGTCTGCGCTTTTGCTACCAGTAGTTTCTTCTTCCCAATGAACATGATCTCCTCAAGTGATTACAACATATTACAACAATATCCATGGACCGCGCGCTGTATTGAAGGGCCCTTGGGCGGTCCTGGTGAGTCGAAACAGTAACATCCATCAGGCACTCCGCGCATTTCCAAGCCGAGAGACATCCTTGACAAAGGCCGGACAAGTCCTTACCGTGGGTGTTGGACTCATACTAGGGACCTTGAATAGTACCCAAGGTAAACGCAGAACATTTTGTTGAACCTAGCATGGCACAGTCTGTGCGGCAAATCGTTTCGGAACCACAACGTCCTTGCTGGTCATGCCAGTGAGGGAGGTTCAGTCAAAGACAGAAAGATGTGTATGGATTTTTAGCTAAGGGCTGTTGGACTCTACGAGGGTACAGGGATGTGGATTCAACGAGTCATTGGCACAGTAAGTCCTGAACCCGATATAGACTGCAAGTGCCCTCCCTGGCAAGACCCTGAGCAGCCGCTTCGATACAGAATGAAAACCCTGATGAGTACGGGAAATGGCCGTACGGGATACCTTGAAGAAGGTATCTAAGGTACTGCCCCCCATACAGTAAGAGTCTCTAATAGGGCTACTACTAAGGTCCTATTATATCTATATTTATGAATAATATTCAACTAATAACTAAGTGGGGGCCGTACCCAAAGGGTATCCCTATTTTGGGAAGCACTGCTGGAGTTTTTTCGCTTGGGGTGCTAAACCTCGTCTGCCAGCATCGAATTTTCGGGCGAGAATGCCACGGGCCGGATGGCCGGGGATCGGGGCCTACGGTTGATGATATAAATTCTGCATTACCTGAAGGACGCTAACCTATGGGAATTATGGAATACTCCTTACTATGGGTAATGCAGGATTCTATCATCAACAGTATGGTTGCATGCATGCTTGCGGATCTCGGTAGAGGGAGTAGGGGTTGCAGTGCTGGCTCCCGCAGTTCTCAACAATTTCATGCTCTGAAAACTTGGTGATTGGCTGTTCAGTGGGTCTTCTGGACTTAGAGTAGCAGAGACGATTTCTGGCCTTAGCATCTAGGATACAGGCCACCAGGGCAAGGTGTCTTGATTTTAAGTTCAGGAAATGACAAGTTTGCCCGTGAAGGCGTTGCTGGCCAGCGAGCAAGCCATCGCGCACAGTTGTGCCTTTTCGTGAGTTCAGAGACATACGGACCTGACCGGTAAAGAGTCGAAATAGTCACAAATATTCTGCAAGTTCGGAGTGATGGCGATCTCAACTAGAGCATGTGCCTATGCGACTGGAAGCTTGAGATGTCTCCTGGCATGTCCGAGGGCCGCCGTGTGTAAGAACCCGTTTCCGTCAACGTCAGCTCAGCCCTGCAGGCATGTACAGTCTGCTCGTGGAAGCCTGGGCCAGTTCAGTAACCCTAAACCCTAAGCAGGACATGTGCAGGCTCCGATTTCCTCACAACTTCGTTTAGAAACCCGTAGTGATTGCTTTGTCCGTCACCCATTACGAAGCCCTCAAAGCCGAAGGGTCCATGTACCGAAATAGCATATACTTTGGCCCCAATGTACCATTGTATAGGGACTACTTTAATGCCAATTGTATATGCTCTATGAGTACATGGACCCCTAGGGATTATGAACCCCTAACCCCTAAACCCAATATTATGAAGCCCTCAACGCAACCCTAGGCGGACTCCGCTGCGCCTCCCAGCTGCCCCTCACACTGCCTCAGCTGATGGAGCTTCATCCGGAGCTCTCGGAGGCATTGCGCTTGGAGGATCGTGGGACTTGTAAGTATGGTTATAAGTACCTTAATTGGGGTTATAAGTAAGTATAAGTATAGGTACCTTAATTATAACCCTAGTTACAAAGTCCCATGATCCTCTAAGCGGGCATCGGGTATACGATAGCTGTTTGTTATAGGGTTTACTGTAGGGTGTAGTAGGGTTTCGGGTTTAGGGTGTAGTAGGGTTGAGGGTTTAGGGTTTAGGGGTTTAGGGTTTAGGGTTTGTAGGGTTTGAAGGTTGACAGTGGCGGTTAGGCTGTGTAATATAGGCAACGGGAAACGCCCGAGGTGACGCTGGAAGCTCAGTTACCTGTACAGCGGGCCGCTGGTCCTTGAGCCAGATAGAAAGTTAGTAGCCGAGTAGGTAACCTTTAACCCTTTGGGGTTTATATTATCCTAATCTAACTGAAAAGGTTGACCTTTTTTGGGCTGGGTCTCTGTGGTCTCAGCCCTAAGGAAACCTTCATTCTTAGCGGTACTACACCAATACCTCTGCACAGGCCTTCGGGTTTCAATCCGTGACCCCATGTTTGGCCCATGTTTACACCTCTACATGTATAAGACAGTAAAATGATAGTTGCACGATGGTAATATTAACGCTATACTGTAGTAATACTATAGTAGCATGATCTTGCTGGGGGTATTGGGTTTACAGTTTAGGGTTCAGGCGGGCATGTACAAGTCTGTGCAGGAAGGGTTCAGGCTGGAGGGGTGTCTCTGATGCGGGGTTCTTTCGGTTGCTTTTCATCGGGGGCAGGGGCTTCTCAGTTCTAGACTAGCGTCCTTCGCTTCGAGGAATTCACAGGCATAGCCGGTCTTCTTCCGCAAAGAGGAACCGGAAGGTTCGGTATCTTTGGACGGAGCACAAGGGATTGCTGGGGACTTGTGCATGCTGCTCTTTGGCAGGATTCCCACTTTGAGCCGCTGCGCTGTCCCAAAACCGAACCAAAGCGCGAAGATCGAAATATCCCTAAGCCGACACTCAGAGCCCGCGCATTTTCTTCAGGCGCTGCCGCAACCGGAAGATTTCGGCCGCGGCGGCGTCTCGGCGACTGCATGTGGAGACTTGTCTTCTGCAACAATTGAAGTTGTCACACTATCGTCTTTGTTAGTGGGCTGTGGCATGCGGGTTAACAACCAGCACTCAGGTGTACAGCATCACGACTCTTCACGGAGTTCACGCTGCAAGGGTTTTGCTCGAGTGCGCCTAGCAGCCCAGGTAGGAAGATGCTAAGAGCCCGGAGAGTGCAAGTTAGAGTAAAACACTCTGGCATAGAATCAGCGAGTCATGGCATCATTGCACGGAGATCCCGACATCCCTAAGCACAACAGCCATACTTGGAGGTTCATGGGTAGATATAACTGGGTTCTAGGTCCCCTAATATGGGTTATAAGTTATAAGGTTACCCTGCTTAGAACCCTACTTATAACTACCCGTGAACCTCCAAGTAGACTCTGCCTTGCAGACTGGCGTCATAGCCAGGACAGGCCCATGATGGTCCTCAACTACCTTAATAATCTACCAGACCCTACTTTTTTGTAGGGTCCCTATAAACGCCATATTAGGGCTTATAATAAGAACCTGCAAATAAGTAGGGTTTGGTAGGCTAAATTTTTTGTAAAAAAATAATAATAAGAACCTACAAAGCAGTATGGTTTGGTAGGCTAAGGTAGGCTCCACTGTGCCAAGATGGCTACCAGCGGCCTCGAGGTCGTTTTGGGAAAGTCCGGCGAGAATCAGGCTGCGGGCGTGCCGGATGTGCGGGAAACTTCCGAGCTCTCACTCAACGCGCCTGCCGTGGCCGTTGAGGCCTCAATGGCCTCAATACCATCAGGGCCGGAGACATCGCCCGAGGACATGTTGGAAGATCCCTGGAACCCAATCCTTGACGGTCACATCCTGCTCATGACCCAAATGTTGGCCACTAGGTCTCAGATCGTGCGGGGCATCCGTGCCTTTCGAGTCCTGCAAGGTGGTCCACGCGATTGGATGCAAGGCGCGTTGCATAGGCTGCATGTTGACAGTGAGGTCACGGCTTCACTGGACGAGTTTTGGTGTCACAGCTGGCAAATCCATCCTGCGGCGAAGTATTTCAGCGTTCTCTTTCTCAACAATGGCTTGGCCGCCTTCGTGGTGGGTACAGTCAGTGCCGGTTTGGTGTGCTGTCTCCGTGTAGCGGGCCTCCTCCACGCTGCAGGAGCGTGCACCTTATGTGGGGCTGCTAGCTACTACTTGACGCTGCTGCTCTGGCAGCGCAGGAAGCCTCTAGCAGGCACTTCGGGAAGCTTTGTTTTCTTTAAGGTCCTGTAGTGGCACGGACCTCGTTACTACGTACAGTAGTATAATACCAATCGAAGTCTAATAAACTGGATCAAAGTCACTTTTTAATGTCATGTCATAAAACATATACTGATGCAATGTAGTCTTAGTGCAATGTAGTCTTGTGTAGTATAACATATTCTAGTACAATGAAACAAAATATGGTAGGACAGAGCAGAACAGAATAGACCACAGCCAAATTCAACATGATTCAGCAAAGTATGACATAGTATCACTTGAGACAACATAATACAGCATGTTAAACACAAAACATAAAACCCATCACATGGTACAACAAGATTTAGCAGAGTATACCAGAATATGACAGAATATAACGCATAATAGTATGTGCAGTATAGTAGCAGTACAGGAAAGTATGATTTAAAATAAGGTAGTTTTATACAACATAATATAGTACAATATAAGACATTATGGTTCAGTTCAACAGAGCATAAACATAATGCACACACACATATGAATGTGTGTGTGTGTGTGTATGTGACACTGTGTTATATCGTCCGAATGCACATATATATATATATATACATACTGTATGTACATATTTATATACATATATATATATATATGCATGTATGTATTCGGACGGTATAACACAGTGAAGCATCGCGCATGTACATAGCAGAATAGAACAGAGCAGAACAAAATCCAATATGACATACTGTGTCACGATATCACCTAATATGTAATGTATCGCATTATCCAGGCTTGTGTTTCTGGACATTGCCTGCATAAACCAGACCGATGAGCAATTGAAGTTCGAGGGCCTCATCAGCATCGGAGCATTCTTGAAGAAGCTCGGCTCTTGCAGTCTTGCATGCTCTTGCTATAAGGAACTGGCGGGTTCAGAGTTTAGGGTTTAGGGTTGACTTAATTTACCAAAATGGGAAACTATAGTGTTATGGTAACGTAGATTCAGTTCCTGAGCAAGAACTCAGGAAGTCACGGACCTTGCTGGTGCTTTGGGATCCGACTCTGGTTTCCAGGCTATGGTGCATCTTCGAAATGGCCGCCTTCCTTCACAGCTGCGAGCTTGATGCAAGGAAGGACATAGTGATATGTCCGGTGTTGGTTGGTCCAGTGTTCCTCCTTGGCCATTTTGGTTTGTGTGTGCTCTTGCTCATTTTCGAACACTCGCCCGTTCCTTACTGGCCATGGGGTGGACTACTCATGGCGATGCTCGCCCTGCCGTGTTTAACTTTGTTCGCATATGTAATTCTTGTTTACTGCAGCAATATCGAGACGATGCAGAAGCAGGTCCGCTATTTTACCGTGGAGGACTCTTCGAGCCAATGTTGCACGGAGAACCATGTGGATCCCACAACCGGAGAGCGCACGATCTGTGATCGCAGCATCATTGGTCGGTGCATCACCTATTGGTTCGGTTCCACTGAACTGTTCGAGTCTGTTGTTCGCAACAAGCTGCTAGAGACATTGGTGGACCATTTGGCAAACCGCACTTTCACATATTGGCGGATTGTGCAAGCAACCAGCCCAGTTCTGTGGGCGGTCCTGGATCTGATCATGGTAAACGTAGAAGCATCGCCGAACACTGTCCTCAGTTTGGTGCTGTATTGGCTGGCGGTTCTACCAAGTATAGCTCTTATTTGCTTACGGCTGTCCTACCAGGTGCGGCTGCTGTGCAGTGGCAGACTAGCACGAGTGCTCGTCGCTGTCGGTATCGTGACCGTTGGAGCAGTCATGTTTTTGAGCTGCTTCACACTGCAATGGGTTGTTATCAATTCAGTGTTTGCTTCCACATACTTGTATGTCGAGTCGATGGTGCTTTCGACGGCCGGACTCATAGTCGTGGCGGGTACGGGCACAGTGCTTTTGTGGTGGTGCCTGCCAGTAATTCAGACATCCGCACCGGAGTCCTAGCTCATCCTCGCTCCTTAGAGGACGATGGTTTTCCGAGATCCGTGACCATGGCGGTTCTTCCACCTTAAGGGTGTGAAGATGACGAAGTTCTATGTGCACGGATGCAAAAGGAAACTGCAAAAGGAAGTTCCTCACGTCGGGAGCCTGGGTTGGGAACCTATGGCGGCAAGCTTCACAGCCACCCACATGGACCTAGAGTTGCATATTCAGGCAGGCCATATTGGAGTGGGTTATTGCTGAGGTGATGTTGTTCGTGGGCGTTGATGATTTGAAGATAAGTGTTGGGAAGGTTCAGGGCTACATTCTTGTTTGATGTTGAATGTTTACGGTGACTGGTGGTTTAAAGATTCAAGGAGATAACGCTGGTATGAATTTGTCGGCTATGAGGGCGAGCATGGTTTCAGGATAACTTGGCGGAGGCTTCTATGAAGATCCCAGAATGATGTTGCTGAGGAGACTGTGCTTGGAGGATCTATAAGTACCTTAATTGGGGTCATAAGTATAGTTACCCTAATTATATCCCTAGTTACTAAGTCCCATGATTCTGTAAGTGAGGGGGGTTGGGGTCAGGGATGACGTGATCCAGCGTTTTGAGGATGATTTGGGGACGGTCTGAAGATGATGCAACGCATATTGGCCTCGTCCGAAGATCCCTTCAAAACCCTGAAGGGAATCCAGAGCCGTCTATAATCTATAAAAAAGCCTTCTAACCTCATGAGTCCCTAAACATAGACCCCCTTCAAACCGCCTTTGCCTGCCTGCCCAGGAGAGTCGGAACAGAGTGTGGCGCAACAGCTGCGAGAGCAGGTGAACGCCTCGTCCCTCGGCTTGATGTGGGTATTGTAGGAACCTGAAATAAGAAACCTTGGTGCTTTATTAGGGTTCCTCATATGAAGCCTACTATTTTGGGGTTAATTTTATAGGCCCAGGGTTTCTTAATCAGGTTCCTAGATTAGTTGTTCGTGGGGGGATTTCGGTCTCTTTCTCGTTTCGGGGCTGAAACGGTTTCTTGTTGGCTTTCATACTGGCCTTGAGCGATCAGTGGGTTTTCGGTTGACAAGGGCTTTCCAGGAGAGCCGACAAAGTGTTGTGTTCTTGAGGGATTCGTTTAAACGGTCTTGTAAGATGACGGGGTGATAGGGCCGTATGACCGCATTATATGGTTTTGTATAGAGTTTCATGCCGGTTGTGATTGGAGTCCGTTTGTTCTGGCTTTGTGGGGAGCCCTCGTTTTTCTGAAATCCTCAGCCAGAACCGAAACGAAGTATTGTGTTTCAATACCTAGCTATCCCTGAGAGTGGATCTTGGCCGAAAGTAGGTGGACCGGAGATCAGGATGTGGGCATACGAGTTGTTGTTGCCAGCTTTCATCTCTAGCTTCCTTGTTCGACCAAGACCCCAAACCCTAACCCTTCCTTCGCCCCTAAACGAAGCCCGAAGAGCACCCTTCCGAAACCGTAAACCCGAAATCTAATTGGGAGTTTCCGAAAATAGGGGACCCCAATATACTACCCTAAATAGTAGGATCCTTTTTATGAGGACCCCTAAATAAGGTACCCCTAATTTTCGGAAACTCCCAATTCTGGAACCTGAGGCTGCTCTCATTGGAGTCAGGGGACGTGGGCATCGCAGACTTGCTGAAAGCCCTCGGCCGGAGCGCTCATGTCGAGTTCGTATCTTAACAGGGCGCGACATGCATAGGGGCATAGTTGAATACATGCATACTTGCTGCAGGTGTTCGTCCTAGCGACAAGTTTGGTGTGGTTGAATTTGACTGATAGGTTTCTTATCGAAGCTCATCGGGTTTCATCGGGTATTGCAACTGTAGTCGGTTTGCAGCAGATATTTCCGGTGCAAGCAAATGAGCACCTTTCGCATGGCTTGCACGAAGGGGTGCAGGGCATTTCAGGGCGTCGGCCGGTGGCATCGGCACAATTGCAAGTTGTGAACACGTTATGCTCTACCTCTTGGCACCCCTGTCCCCATATCCTGGCGCAGAGGCCTAAACCCTGAAATCCCACAAACCTTCCTTAAGCCTGAAAAGAAGGTAAAATGATTGCCCAACACCTGTAAACGGCTATTTCTGCTAGGGTCCCGTTAGACCCTACACACTAGAACCCCTGCATTATACTATAGAAGCCTACTATAAATCCCTTATAGAGTTTTTAAGGAACCCTTCAAAGAAACCCTAAATTAAAAGGGTTCGGCTCTACGAGGAGTGAGGGCACGATCTGCCAGCAGTGCTCCGTTGCCAGCTTCGGTGAGCTACAGCTGCAGGCCGGCTGTACTTGGAGGTTCATGGCTATTTATAAGTAGGGCAATAAGTAGGGGAACTATACTTATAACTCATATTAGGGGACTTATATCCCCACTTATAACTACCCATGAACCTCCAAGTAGGGTTTAGAGCTTAGGAAGTGTACCTAGGCCCAAAGGGTCCTAGGTACTGTTATGGGGATACTTTCCCAAACCATAATAGGGATTCTTTAATGTAGAAACCCTACATTCGACATTCTACTATATAGGTACTTTGGACTCTGTGGGCTCGGCCCTGAATCACCTGCGTGCAGGAAGCCAGCTAGTTCTGAACATACTTCGGGCCCTTTGGAAGCATCATGGTACGGTCAGTTCCTACTGCTTGAAGCCGTCATCCCCGCTTTCGAAGAGTACCGAAAGCATCCCATGTGCTAGAGTAAACGTATATCAGTAGGCACCTGCACCATTTCTTCCAAAGTACCTGATCAGGCCTCTAGCTAAAGTAGTAGGTACATCTTCGCAGCAACATGTCTGTACCTTTATCCGAGGTTCCTTGCTTAGCCCTGCAGGTAGGGTTTGGGGAGCTCTTGGCCCGGAACAGCGACGAGTTGGCCAAGATGATGGGCCCGTTCGTGCACAAGGTGGGCCGTTCTTGGGGCTCGGGGTTTATGGGGTTGAGGTCTTCGGTTTTCACGACCATGAGGTCTTCGGTTTTCACGACCAGGGTTCAGTTCAGGGTTTGCGGTGGCCTTCAGTCCATGGCGAAAAAAGGTCCGGGATATCGAGGCCTAAAGGAAAGTGCTATCGAGATGTGGAGGTTTGTAAGGTTGGGGGTTCAGGTTGACGCCGGTTCTCGACTTCCTAGCAGTCCACAGGGACACAGGCGATGCTGAGGGGATTCTTTTCATACGTGAAGCGCTTTCGCGATCGTAAGACACAGCAAAGTTGATGCCTTCTATTCCCTGTAACAGTATACTACTTACTACAATTTTACCCCATTAAAGCAACCGTGCTCCCATAGGCGCCTCAATAGTCACCTATACTATGTTGTTTTTTGGGGGGGTCCCTATTATGCATATAGTATAATGGGCACCAAAGCACTACTAATGATTAAGTCTCCTATATCCCTAAATTCCTCATGGTACCCTTCTAGCCTTACAGTATCCCTTAAAGGAACGCTTCAGAGGAACCTTATTCTAATTATTATACGACTCCTTTTCTTACCTTTGGTTAGCAGGGAATGGAGGAATGGGGTACAATTATAGCCACTATTACTACCGTTCTTCCATTCCCTACTAACCAAAGGAAGTTTTTGCAAACCCTCTGAGAGGCCGGCAGTGGGAAGCTCCAGTCGGAGCTAAGTCGCTTCTGCACGGAGCTCAAAGCCGCACAGGTGCCGACATCAGAGTCCCTGCTCCTGGGACATCTTTAGGGTTTAGGGGTTGTAGGGTTTGCGGGTTTAGGGTTTTAAGGCTTCAGGGTTTCAGGGTTTAGGGTGTTAGGGTTGCAGTGCGCGTCCATGGGTAGTCAAAAGTGGGGTCATAAGTTGGGTAGCTATACTAATTATACCTGTAAGAGACTCATGGCCCCAATTATATTTAGCCATGAACCTCCAAGTAGGGAGGTTCACATCTTGGGAGAAGTATGACTTTCCCCGGCCGACTTCCCAAGCCCAGATGCAAAAAGGGTCAACCTCCCTAAGCGGAGGTTTCAGATAGAGTTTTAGGGCTGCCAGTTGTATATAGGGGCCCTTCTCATAAGGACTTGGAGCTACTTGGAGGTTCATGGGTAGTTATAAGTGCGGCTATAAGCCCCCATTACTTATAGTTACCCTATTTATAACTACCCATGAACCTTCAAGTATAATGAGAGACTGGGCGTAGCCGACCTTTTGAGATTCAGCCTTTGAGTTGAGCCGAGGCTTCTCAAGGATATCCCCAAGGGAACGTAAAGGATATGAAGAGCCCCAAGGAATGATGTAATTATGAATAACTGAAAAATGGAACCCCATGGAATGATACACGCACAGCAAGGAATCCCAAGGAGTAATATAGGTATGTTATAGTACGGAGCCCGGGGGATAGCATGCCCAGATTTGGCGCATTCTGTGCAGAAGTGCGAACATGGCTAGTGGAACATGCGGCGGACCTTATATCCCTGAACGTTGTACCCAAACCTCAAGAGCTTGCAAGGTCAGCAATCCTGGATCACTTCGGAGCGGCGGTGACCTCCCAGGACTTTGGTCAGTTCACGGACTGTGAGTGTAGCATTGTATAGTGTTAACGCAGGATGGTTGTTGAGGTGGTCGTGTGTAAGGTTACCATGTTGCCACGGCCTGCAAAGAGAAGCTGTGGGGGCAACAAGGCCCGCGCAAAGTACTAGGATTGAGAGCCTTTGGGTTTTTGGACGGCCAGGCCAAGTTGTGAATCAGAGAACCATAGTGGCATCCTGGCTACCACTTTCCCACGCCACACGGCCAACAAGGACGTCGACACAGAGACTGTGCAAGTCAAGCACGAAAGTTGTTGTTGCAAAATCCGCCATTATCCCTGAATATCCCTGACCTCTACAAGCCCTGATGTCTCGGAAGTTTTCAGGCAGCGACTAATGCAGGGCTCGGCATTAGTAATGCAGGGCTCGGCATTAGTAGTAACATTTTCCTATGCCTTTCAAAATTACTGTAGACCTTGCGACCCTTGTTTTGCTGATGCAGCGATGTGAAAAGTTCAGTACAGGGCCACTTCGGGCTCGGGTGCCTGAACCCAAATATACCGTAGGGGTCGCTTTCGTATAATTATCGCGAAACTGCGGTACTATTCCTCGGGTTCCTTACTATAAACAGAGTATGGTATGGTTACCGCTAAAACTCCATTCTAGTTAATATTGAGGCCCCTTCGATACAGTCAGAATTCTTGAAGTCCTTCTCCGGTTGCCAAAGCGCCCTTATCCAAGAACGTTGCTTCACTTCGGCCAGGAATGTCAGATCGCTTGGGACCAAGCAGCCGCATTCAACACCTTCGGTGAGGTATCAACCGCTTCCTGACAAGCAAGACCGCTTGCAACAGATTTAGTGCAGATATAGGCGTGTTGCGGCATGAGTTGAAGGATCAAACGGATTGCGCGTCAGACTTAAACTCAGCTTTAGGATGGTGTTTGTTCACAGGGTTAAAGTTTTCGTGGCCTGAAGGATTGGGGTGGTACAATGTTTTACATACAGTTGCATGTATTGCGTGCAGAACGGAAACTTGTGGAACCGAAGTAGACTCGCTACTATCTTACCCCCAGACAGTCCGAAAGCCACAGCATCTTCGACTTCCGAAGATGCTCCAAATATCTCCAAATAGCAACAGAAGGCATGCTCAAAGCCAAACCCTAAGGGTCCATGTACTCAAAAAGTATATACTTTGGCCCCAATGTACCTATATAGGGACTACTTTAAGGCCAATGTATATACTATTTAGGTACATGGACCCTTAGGGAAAGCCATTCAATCAAACCATGGCAATGCTTGGCTTTGCCGGGTACTCCACACATTGAAATCATTATGAAAACTGTTGGCAACAAGCGTTGAGACCCATTATTTGCCGCAGGCTGCCATACACTTAAGGGTAAGATGGATTCCGTTACAAACTTTGCCCACACCAACTCCCAGACCCGAATGCCCAAGCGGTACTAACATCAGATGAGGTTGAACTCTTCGGTAGGCAATCCAAAGCTACATGATTGCTGTTGGCCCTCCATGGTCGTTCCTTTTTTGATAGCCTGTTTTATGGTCAGGCTCCCACAGTAAGAAGATCATGTAGCAGAACGAAGGTGCGACTGTACAATCCAGGGTCGAGTCACAACGCCACATAAAGCGCCAGAGGTCGAGTCAGTGCACATTATAGCCGCTGGCCACAGTGCAGCATCCAGCTGGCAGAAGGCCGCCGCACGAATCATGGAGAAGGAGGACATTGGCAGAAAAGTTGCAAATCTGGGGCATCGGCATGGGGCTCTTTGCACAGTAGTCAATGGTGTCTAGAGTCCCTAGGTAGGGCTTTGGGACATTTTATAGTTGCTCGTATTGGGCTTAAAAGCATCTTACCTACTAATATTTTTCAAAGTCTTTAAAAGCACCTCCTAGGTCCAGAGTTCAGCTTTGAGGGGTGTAGTCTTCGTAGATTTGGACTTTCGGCTTCCACAGGTTTTGGTGGAGGTTATGAAGCTTCGCATGCCCAGAGAGCCCAACACCCCCGTAATTAAGGAATATACCTTAGACCATTAGGGGGCTTCATATTGTGATTTAAGCTGTATTCCTATGGGGCTCTTTGGGTGGGTCTCCCGGTTCTCTGCTTCTGTATTTTGGCTCAGTGTTACGCCTGGCCCCGCTCTGCACATGGAGACCGGCCAGGGGGTTGATCTCGCAGCCTACCCATAGGCCCCATATATAGTAGTTCCTTTTTGGGATTACCTTATAAAATTCTATATGTATTAACCCCAAAAAGGAACTACTTTGGGGCCTATGGGTAGACCCAACACCCCAAGATCCTCAAGCCCGACACCGCACGATCCTAAAACCCGCCTCGCTTCGAGTGACTCTTTACCTTTGATTAGCAGGGAATGGAAGAATGGTAGTAATAGTAGTTATAATTGTACCCCATTCCTCCATTCCCTACAAACCCAAGGTAAGTCCAGCCCTGAGCTGCGTGGTCCCTGATGCTTAAACCCCGAAGTGGACTCCAACACGCTAGCCGGCACAGCACAGATCCGCAAGAACGGTCATGAAGTGTGCAGGCGGCATGGAGCTTCCTTGCTCCAAATCTTCATCGCCCCGTAACCATGAACCCGATATCCTTTCTAAGCCCTATAACCCTAAACCGGTTTCAGCTATCGTACCCTGCCTTCTAGGTTAGTCCTAAGCAGGCGGGAGGCAAAGAACAGCAACGGGAACAACACCGCATACATTGACATCAGTTGCAAGGAGATGGTCCAGCATGTTGTGGACAGCATTCTACGGACACCGGTTCTGATGAATCTGCTGCTCGGGTGTGTGCGGTATGCTTTGACTTGCTCCACCGAGAATTCAGATATACAAGTGCCAGGATTTACGTCTAAACACGAAAATGTGTACACAGGAAATGTATACTTCCGACTCCCGACTCTGCCGGGCGTCCTGGGATTAACAAAAAGAGCTTGTGGTTCTGTAGTGGTTTGACCCTATCTAAACGACCAGGGGGTACCGTAAATAGGCTGCTTTTGTCTGAAGTACTATGTGCTGAGTTTATGATTACATGAAGCTCAGATAGGGTGCGTGAAACTGCTTCTCACTACCTCATCAGTCGTCAGGGAAAACCTGCTGGCGTCCCCTGAACACGCCCACATGTGCTCAGGCGAGATGCCTTTCCCGACTGGACAGAGAACTTCCAAGAAGCTTTGGGGGAGTTCTCTGAATTCTTGCCGCCTGCCTGATGCAAGCCCATGAAATGTGTTTCAATGAAACCGCAAGTTTTGTTTCTTTTCCGGGCGTAGGCGTGATTGTTCCCAGGAGCCTTGCAACAAGACTGCGGAGCTTGTGGCACGTGCATGCGAGGGCCTTATACTCACAAGATTCATCGTACATACATATACATACATACGTATATACATACTTACATAAATACGTACCTACATATATTTATGTACCTACGCTCATGCGTACATACGCACATACGTACACAAATGTCAATAGACATACATACATACATGCAAACATGCATATACATACATGCCCCATCCACGCCCCGTCTTCCCGTCCCCATGCCATGCTCTGTGTAAACGTTGCCTGCATGTGCGTGTGTATGTACACGTACATGTACTAGTACGTGTGTATATATATATATATATATGTATGTGTGAATGTATGTACATATGCAGGTATGTATGTGCGCACGTACGTATGTAATTATGTCTCTGCCTGTTTGTCTGTCTGTCTGTCTGTCTGCATGTATGTATGGAGGTATGTCTGTGTGCATGTACCTATGTCTGCATGTGTGTGTGTGTGTGCGCATCTGTGCATGTGGATATGAGGGTATGCGGGTGAACATGTGCAACTGAGTTAATGTGCGTATATACACACATACATAGACACACGCACACACATTCTTCCATGCTCAATACATGGTATGATACATGTGCATGCATACCTACACCATCATTGCTTCTATTCCGACTCTGACTGCTGTCTCGAACAAGGTCCTCCAAAGATTTCCTTGACGCTTGGGAAGCACAATGCCATGGCAGCTACATTTATGCCATTCAATGGGAACACTTCGTTCGTCTCCCGACTTGTGCCCTGCCTCATCCACATGATTCCGGGTAGCGGGACGACTGAGAAAGTTCGATTACTTGTCACTTGCCTGTAATATTATTATTCTTGTTGTTGTTATTCTTATTCTTATTCTTCTTATTCGTATTATTAGTACTATTACTATTATTATAAGTATTAGTATAATAATAATAACAATAATATAATAATAATAATTATTATTATTGATATTATTATTATTATTATATTGTTATTGTTATTGTTATTGTTATTATTATTATTATTGTTATTATTATTATTATTGTTATTATTATTATTATTGTTATTATTATATAGACCTTTGGCTGGCCGCCTCGCAGAGTTCGGAGAGTTGTTCAAAGGCGGTTCATTCGTTCATACGCCCGGAGTATCTTTGGAGTTCCGTGTTCGTAGCATCCCACCCCGGCCGACCGTCGCAGGTACGGTGACTGACTTCGTTACTTGCGTAGAAGCACGGGATGCGGCCGGCGCTGCTGGCGTGGCGCTGCGCAGGTGTTCGGGGTTACCTGCATGCCTTTCTTCCCAAGCCAGCTTCAAGTTGCTAGATGTGGGCCAGGTGGTTTGGCTTGTACAAGTTGGAGGTCAGCAAGAGTGGCAAACAGCTTGCTGTAACCAGCAAATTACAGTCAAAACTGCCGATGCAACCGTCTAGGTTCTCGTTCATACTCGGATTGAAAAGTGGGCCGCTGGAGCTTGAGCCCTGCACATACAGCTATCAATCTCGTACAAGCCTTGCGCGCCGAATCCTCGTTAATTGCTGCAGCATCGGTCTGACTCATGTCTGAATTTCAATACCCAAAGGGTCCTATGTCCCGATATAGTAGAATGTAGGATTTCCATATTAGGAATTACCTATTATGACTTAGGGAAGTGTCCCCCATAACAGTACATAGGACTCATAGGACCCTTTGGGGTAATTACAGTTGTTGCGAGACCAGGCTGGGAGGTATTGGGTTCAGTGTTTGCCTGTATTCAGTTGAAACTTTCTCTTTGTTCCCCAGATGGCTGCAAGATGGAGTCAGTTTCCCGGCAGAGCAGTTTGCGGACGCTGCTGAGGAGGGCTACAAGCCGCTGGGCACTGACATGTGGACAGATTCAGATGTCGGCTCAATAGGTGGGAGGACTGGTCCGACGACACGACACGGAGGTGGGCTAGTTAAAGTTTTCGACATTCGGCTCAGCCGTAAGATGTCTGCTGTACACAGAACCAGAGTTTGGATTTCTTTTGCGGTGCAAGTCTTGGTAGTATACGCTTCGCATTGCAGCTGTTCTTCTATTCTAAATGGTGCTCTTCGGGATGAGTATGCCTGTGGTGATTGAGGCATAAAGCGCCTTGTGACACATTGAAACCGGCCGAAGCCCAATTTTTCCAACACCAACGCTGTTTGGTGTCGCGACCGGGTTCTGGGGCAGTATGGTAGCAAAACTACTGAACTGCGAGCGCGAGCTCATCAGTGAAGCTCTACTTGGAGGTTCATGGGTAGTCATAAGTAGCGCTATAAGTCCCTAACATGGGTTATCAGTATAGTTACCCTAAATACAGCCCCACTTATAACTACCCGTGAACCTCCAAGTGGATTGGAACCGTTGTGCTGGTCCGAAGGGGCTCCCGGCTTCGGGCTCGCTATAGAGGGAAACCTTCTTAGTAGCTTAGTGAATACACTTTATGCTTTTTGGGGGATAACATTACCCACTATAAAACTGAAAGTGTACACTTTTGGGGGATAATATTACCCACTAAAAATGTGAAAGTGTACATTTTTGGGGACTTATTATGAATTCAGCAACTAAGCCTTGCAACGGAGACTCACTCTCCAGGAAAATGGTGGCAGGTAAGCTCCGGGAGACGTTCGTGCTGCAGGCGTTGGTGTCGCTGCCGGTGAAGCTGCTTGGATCAGCTGGAATGAGGTTGAGGCAGAAGGATGCGGGTTGATAACCTTTACATGTTCCCAGACCCCCGAGAGGATCCAAAAAGTAGATCCCTTCATGGGGGTTCCTATAAAGTACCCGTAGTAGTATGGGGCCCCAAATTAGGGGATCTACCCAGATGCTGTTCAGCACTTGTCCGAAGCATGAGGGGATCTACTTTCTAGATCCTCCCGGGGGTCTGGGTTGGTCTCAGGGTGCGAAGGCTTCGAGCATGTCGTCGCCTTGTCCTGTCTGGGAGGAGCTTTGGATCCCGGCTGTTGTTACCCCGTCAAAACATGGTCAAACATGCCGACACCTGACCGCCGGCACAAGCAAGAGCAAGCGTGGAGCAATTGAAAGACCAGTCGCATGGGCAGAGTCAGAGAGAGAGAGAGAGAGCGAGAGAGAGAGAGAGAGGGAGGGGGGTCGGGCACAGTGCGCGTGTCCTCCAGCAGACAGCAGATCGTGTCCAAGAGACACCTAACCATCTGGCCGACTTCAGAAGACTTGAAGGAATGAACAGCCCACTATATTACGCTTCGCATCTCCAGGTTCCGTGAAGCTGTGTCGCGTGCGTTGGTGAAGCCATATATGGACTTGGCCCTTCCCCGGAGCAACATGAGCCTTGGCATTTAGATTTGGGATCCACAAAGAACAGAAGAGTTGGCATCATTAACATTGTGCAGGGGTACCTTACCTGGTTGGCCTTCATTAGAAGAAGTTTGTTTTAGGGGCTATTCCTGTCCTAACTTTCGCTTATTTATGTGCCTTCTTTCGGATGCTCTATTAGAGATGCATGACTCGGGTTCCGATAGTAGCTATGTAGGTTGCTATTTCGGAGAGTACATTACTATTCGGTACTTGGACTCGTGGTATAGGGTGAGAATAACGTTTTCCTTTGAAACAGGACTGCAAAATGTGTCTTGAAATTTGCCTCCGGGCCAAGACCACATGTAAACTGGCAAGAAGTACAGACTGTCACATAAAGAGACAGGTATGATGTTAAAAAAGCCTTCCATGCGACATTGATGCACCTGTTTGTTTCTCGACGTAGTTATTCCGGAGCCAAAGCCCTATGCATCTATTGCATGTAAGCCGTAATGCTGCGGCATCCTGCGAAGCCCGAAAAATGCAGAAAATGAGATGCCGCACTAGAGGTGCCGATACCAACATGAGGACCCAGAACTGAGGTCCTAAATCCTAAAATCCTAAAAGTACGAACTTCGAAACCCTAAACTCTAAGCCACCCAGAGCCTCCTCTGAAGCCCGCAGACGGTGATCATAGGGACACGGCTGCAGTAGGTGGAAGACGTGGGCATGATACACGTAGGGCTTACATGCACATCGTCAATCAAAATCTTGGTCAAGGGGAGACCCCGAAACCCTATACACCCCGCCCTCCGCCCACAAAAGACATACCAAAAGCTTGCTACGGCACCCTGTGCCGAAGGATTGCTGTGGCGAAGCAAAGTGCCCAGCTCACTGCTGCTCTCAGGCTGGCCCGATAGAGTTAATTAAGAGCGTTCCTGTCTTCGGGATACCATATGTACATACATATAGCTGTTATATATTTAATATGTATATGAACGCTCTGGCATTTAGAAGTTAGGATGTAAAAGGCGTTGCGAATGTTGTTGATGAAGCGTTGTCTGAAGGTGCGTCAGGGTTCCAAGCTTTCGCAAGATACTACTCTTGGGATCCTGAACTACCGGAAACCTGTGGGAATAACAATCAATGTACAGAGTGGACGCCGGAGTCAAGGATCCGCAGGCTAGCCTCACGTTACAAACAGTGGAGTAGAAGCAATGTGGAACGGCAATCCACATCGAAGTACCCGTCACCAGCGTTAAAGGAGCTGTAGCGTGTATAGCGTGTGAGACACGGAGGTGGCTGGCCAAGTTCACCGGCAACACCGACTGGGAGTTGGACTGGCAGGAGCAATACCCAGTATACATACCAGGCGAGCGTTGGTTTGATGGTTTTCGGCACGGATGAATGCAATGGTTGGTACTCGGCTGGGAGTTTCACAGCGCAGAGATCCGGATTAATGTTCATGTCGCGGAATGCGTGGTTCTTCAGGTGCTGCAAGTGTTGTGCCTAGCCGGAACGAACCAAAACTCGATCTGCACACTGCACTGTGGTGGGGAATCTTGTGGAGTCATTCTCTTTGCACCTGTACGTCCAGCTAGTTGTTCAAGATTCGGAATGCGCTGCGTGTTTGGCATGGTTCCAACTCCTCGAAGCACTTGTGAACGAGGGGAAGTTCATGCGACTCGAGATCGTGACCGTTGCCCGCAAGAAGCACCTGCAAGACAACCAGGCGAGAGAGCGGCTTCTTGTTCCAGACCAGAGGCACAATTTCCTTGCTGTCATCGTTCGAATGTACGGGGAGTGGCAACACAGCAGCATAGGCGGGGTAAAGGGTACAGTTCTAAAGTCACGGCTGTCTGCCACATTTCCAGCCTGCAGCCGTACAGCTAAGTGACCATTAAGAAGTTTCTCTAACTTCACCACATCGGTGACATGCCTTTCGCAGTTCCTCCGTCCAAAGGAAACAAGCGATGCTGACAGCAGCGCCCTGGAATTGACGTTGCCTTCTCCGGGGATCTTCAGGGTGACATCCTTCAGGGTCCTCTGGAGCCATACTGCAGATGTTATATCTCTTCGACTGTGGGGCGAAGAGGCAGGATGCAAACCATGTGGTTGGGGAGTCTGTACATGTTGATGTCTCAAAGCCAAGAGCATTTAGTGTGTGCGGTGCTGCGGCGCAGAGATGAGATGCAGAATGAATGGTGTCTACCCGTGTGTTCCACTGCATGCTTAGCCGAGTCAGCAACACCGCAGTAGTCCTGCGAGCTGGCTGCGGACATATAACAGTTATATTCGCGCACAGTGGGCTGCCCTAGACGACGATCAAGCACTATCGCAGATGTGTATGTTTTTGCGCCCGAGCCGAGGTGATGGGGGGCACATCTCGGAAGAGACGGACACGGACCAAGACTCGGAAGACCACACACGGAGTGAGGATTCAGCCAACCGAAGCTATGGCGAAGTTAAGCTTGTTCCTGATTGCTTCATGTGGTAACTTGTACGTCGTCTTGTGGCCCAGCCACATTTCTGCATGGCAGTCGGCGCAGATACTTGGAGGTTCATGGGTAGTTATAAGTATATAGGGGTATAAGTAGGGTAACTATACTTATAACCCATGTTAGGGGACATATTACCCCACTTATAACTACACATAAATATAAACACAGATAGGATGGCTCTGAGAGCCAAGGAAAGCTCTGCCGCAAAATCGCCAGGAGCCGTGCCTTCCTCCAGGGTTCGATAGAAGGCATAGCCTTTCTGCTTTAGGCTTTACTGTAGGGCTTTTAGGGTTTAGGCTGTAGGCTTTAGGTTTTGGAAAACCGATAAGTTCCAACCGAAATCCTTGAACCGATAGGTTCCCGTCCTCTTCTGTAGGTTTTACTGTAGAGTTTTTAGGGTTTAGGCTTTACTGTAGGGTTTTTTAGGGTTTAGGCTTCAGGGTGTTTAGGGTCCCAGTTCGAGGTTTAGAGTTGGAGTTTTCGGGTTCAGAAACTTGTCATCGCTTGCAGTGTATCCGGCGGTGAGAGCCCGGCTGCAAAAACGGTTGCAGAAGTTTAGGGCTTCAGGGCTGTAGGGGTGGAAGTTTGCAGGGTCAGTTTCTGTAGCCTTCAGGAACCCGTAAACAGGGAAGTAAGTACCGTCGCTGGAGCGAAAGGTCACAAGGGATCTACCCCGAGGGATTCGCTTTGCGTCCGTGCATATATTATATATACAGGAGTTGTCCACGCTTAGGCGTGCCGTACTGTACTTAGGGGTTCTTACAGTGAGCATGCATCTACTAAGTGTTCTTTTCCCACATGTTTCTTTTGTACACGGCATGTTCCAGGGACAAGGGCGTGAAGTTGGAGCATGTGAACACGGTGACCAGGACGCTCGGGTGCATTGTCGTTTCGATGAGCAGCGGGTCATAGGCATAGCACATTGGCGTGATGTTGTTGGATGTAAACCTGCGTTGTGAGTCGGCCAGTTATGTCGGAGGCAAAACAAGGCAACAAGGATACTAGTTTGCAACCTCTCTTGTCTTGAAGATGCGCTGTGGGTTGCAAACTGTTATTTTGCCGGTTGGGCTCAAAGTTTGGGAGAACTCCGGATGTTGCCGAGTGTATATTTGCTATTCAGGCATCGCTTGTCTCTGGTTCGTTCGCTCTGTATTTGTTGACTGTCTTTGTTTCTTTCCCTCTCTCGCTCTTTCTCTTCCAGGCTCTCTTATTGTTCTTTGCCCTCGTCGTGTCGTGACTTGGCCCCAAATACACGAAGCTTCAATCAGGTAGTGTGAAAGGCAGCGATATCCCTGATGTCAACTTCACCTATTGAACCGTATCCACCATCTACAACGCAATGGCTGACTATACCGAACCTGATTCCAGTCGTCTACAGTATGTGGAAGGACTGCAGGCCAAGCACAGAACAAGTCGTTGAAGCACTGGTTGTGTTTGTTCTGGCTGTTCTGGATGGCAAGAGACACGTGAATGTCGATATCAGAGCAAACAACAAACTCAGTGGAGAGGTAGTTCCTGCTCCCGATTAGCTTCTGTACGCAGCCTGAAACGAAATGCACATAAATCCCAAAGGCCCTGGGTCTTGTGCAGCCCAAACCCCAGGAACTGGGAGCAACGCCCGATGAGCGGTACGCTTCGATCGCTGCAGACGACCGTACAGGGTGCTGTGAAGCGACTGTCAGCAGATCTCTACAGCGGCGAGGCGGGCCCTCCTGGCATTTCTCATTTTTGTCTCGCTTTGTACTCCGTGACATTCCTGCCAGGTCCACTTCATGCTCGAGCTGCTGCAAAACGCGGATGACTGCGAGTTTCCGCAGGGCGTGACGCCGTCCCTCAAAGTGACCTTCGAGTCTGCTGCCCAGTTCTGCATGACCGGTTTTGGGGTTTTAGAAGAACTGGCTCCTGTCTTGTCCGTTGAAGCCACAGACGAAAGGCTTCACCTTACGCCACGCTTGCAAATAAGACTCTCGGGACATGCGCCAAACATTTGTGGACAAGCTGTTGACCTTGTCCTCGGTTTATAGGTTGCGTCATGGGGCAGCTGAACATGGCCCAGCACCTAACGCTCGACGGGTTCAGGTCGGATGCGGCGCAGTTTGGTGAATACACCACATTCAGACCCTCTCAGCCACCTCAGGCTTTTCTTGCGACTGAGTTTCCATCAGCAACATTTTACAGATTTATCAGCCCTGGTTGCATGTGTAGCACTTTGCATGAGGAAAAATGTTGAGCATGCCACCCAGGGACCTGGAGTGTTACAGTCGTGAGAGACTCAGACAGATCGAGAGAGAGAGAGAGAGAGAGAGAGAGAGAGAGAGAGAGAGAGAGACAGAGAGGACGTTTCTCTTTGGAGAGTAACATAGAGTGACTGGGTGCTGAAACGTAACATACGGGGCGGCACTTGGTACGGGCATTCGTCAATCCTGTCATCGTATACTACAGGGTTTCAGCCAATTCACGTATCACTCTCGTTTCTGACGCTCCTTTACCCGTTAAAACAAAGGTACGGGTGGGCTTGAAGCCTGGCAGACTTGACCGTCCCTCATGCCCGGGAGAGAGAGGGAGAGAGAGATGGACTCTTTCGCTTAGCTGCAGGGCACTCTTCAAAGCTCCAAGACTGGGACAGCGGCGCTGCGGGGAGGGGCAAGTGCCGACTGTGCCTTCAAGCCCCGGCGGGAGAGGGATGGAGAGAGAGTGGAGATGGAATCACGCACCACGGCGGATGCCAGCATGAGGGAGTGAGAGAGAACGAGAAGGGAGATAGACTGATAGACAGATTATCATCAATGCCTGGGGATTCACAGGTCATTGAGCACAACGAGACCGGATTTCGTGACTCTCTTGCAGGAGCAGGTTACGGGCAGTCTGCTATAGCCTAGTATTTGCTAGGTCCCAGTTCTCTTCGAGTTTGCAGGGACCCTACAAAAACAACTTCTGCTTGTTTAAGGTACGTGATAGAGAGCAGCTGCAGGTTCGGCTCAGGTTCACTCCTAGATAGAAAACACGTGGTGCAAACCGTCGTTTGTAAGCACATGACACAACCCCAAAATATCCTTTAAACCGTATGATCGGGCCCCTAGACCTTGAAGCCCTGCACTGTAAGCACTGAACCCTAGGCCCTGACCTGAACACTGGGCCCTGAAACCTGGGCCCTGAACCTTTCACCCTAGACCCTGCCCCCTACAGTAAACCTTGAGCCCAAGGCCCTGAAGCGTTGACCTTGAGCCCTGAGTGATGAATGTGACGACCGATGCATTTCCCATTTGTTGATTTGGGTTCCTGCCACAATTATTCGAGATGCTTTGCCCGAGAATTCGATTTCCAGCTTCGTTTCACATTTTACCTTCTCTGTCAAAGGCGACTTCAACATCCGAGCGCTCTGTGACATCGCTCAGTCCACGAAGACGGGTGATGCACGGAAGTACATCGGTACCAAAGGCCGGTTTGCCAAATTCGCAGGTCCAGTTTCTACCTACAGAGCTGCCGAAGTAACACCCAGCAGCAAACGTGACCTACAACAGAGCCCTACCTTCACTGACGTGAATACCTACACAGCCTATGTAGTCAGTCCTCTAGAGCTTGATTGGGGAGCGGTGCAGGTATTGGCTTCAAATCCGTCTTCTGCGCCACCTCTACCCCGATCGTTCATTCGGGCTCTTTTCACTTCCACTTTGACTCGGACGCGTTGGACGGACTCGGGTATCTGAGCTTGGGCAGCACTCTCGCAGACTTGTCGTCGCCACCTATTCTAGTTAAAGGAGGCATCTGCCTGCAGCCTGTTGGCGATCATCGACTGTCCACTCGACATAGCTACTGGCATGGTCAGTCCTTACAGCGTTAAGCTTCCGGTCGACCTGATTGAGGCGGATGGTCGTGCTAGAGGGCTGAGATTAATTCAAGTCGGATCTCTGAGTGAATGCAGCAGCTAGGATCCCGAATCTAAGCAACATAAAGTATCACTTCGGCTGCATGGCCCAAGTAGCGAACCGCTGTGAAGCAAAAGGATTCCTTTCCCACTGACACGGCCGCCGAAGTTCAAGACCGGAACACGCCTGGTGCCATGGCTTTGATGGGGGCTTTGCACTACTTTTACCCGCTTGGGGCTTTGCGAGGTCTCAGGGCCGGTTCCGAACCTTCGGGCGTGCTTCGGGTCTTTGGTTAGCTGGCTTGCGCAGGGGTTCGTGAGCCATTTCAGCTTCGTGTGAGTCTCTGTGTATTTAAGCGTGGATGCTCACGAAGTCGGCCACAATTTGCAAGTGTGAGTATGCCATTCGAGGCGAGCAGTGTGCAACACGTCGGATTCCGTTAATGCTGAGCAGTTCCAGAGTTCTGGATGCTAGGTGCTCCCACTCTACGACCAGGTAAAGACGGACATGTGCTGCCGAATTGTGGAGGTCTGTTTGCACACAATGGCGCCTGCATAGTACAGATGGATAAGATTGCTGTACTGACGGTGGTACAGCTGCCCAACACGGATCATCCAACCATGGCAGACGGTTGTCGCAAGAGCGATCTGTACCGACGGTGTGTGCATGTAGCATAAGACTATGCATCATCTTGGGCACCTCGAGATAGATCAGCGGCTTAGCAAGGAAGGCCTGTGGCTCCACAAAAGTGTCTAGTCCTGATGCGTTCCTTTCTTACGGGTAAAGATGATTAGGCTGTGCCTGGAATAACCCAACTCCTAAGAATATCAGTAGCCGATCGGCATCTGCCGTGCCATAGTTGCCTGTAATTCATCATTGATCGCTGGATTTGGGGTGCCACAAAGCGTACATGGGAGCTTAAAGACGACAGTCTGGACAACAGTTCCGTGGAGGACCTCAAGCCCGAGCTGTTGCTCTTCCTGAGAAAATTGGAGGCAGGGCAACGGCACTCAGGTTTAGGCTTCAGGGTCACTTTCAGGGCTTTCCAGTCAGGTTCTATGGACTTGCGCGTGAAGAGAATTTTTGACTGTCCAGTAAGTGTGGTTTCATGATGTGTAGGTTTTGTACACTTTAAAACCCCTGAGACTGCGTAGCAGTGAAGCATTTCGTTTGAATGGAGCCTCACCGTTTTGACAGCAGAGAATTCTACAAGCATTCTCTTAGGTCTGGGCATTGCTCCTGTCTCCGCATGTATGGCCTACCACGTTCTTGGAAAATGCAACCTTGTGCACAGGAAATCAAGGTGGTGGACAGCCAGTCGCAGCTACATCGGACCATCCGAAAGGAGTTGGACAGCTCACGAAGCTCCCATGCGGCTAGCTTGAGATCAGGGAGCATTACCATGATCGAGATCCCAAAGAAAGACATGGCAAAACACTGAAGAACCCGGTCACGTTTCAACATAGCAAGCGTATATGCCGTCCATGCGTGCAGATGGTATGAGCGCGTCAAGAACATGCCCCACATACACATGAAATCCAAGGAAGTTGCAGAAATCACGAGATTCCAGAGAGCTGGAAGTTTAACACGACCGCAACTGCAACCTCGTGTCCCTGGCAGGTGTGGTACATGCCGTCCGCAACTAGAAGTATCGGTTGCATCTCTCGCCCGGTTCTACTTCCTTCTGGCGTACCTAAACAACATGTACATGCATATCTATCCAAGGTGTTCCCAATGAGGCTGAACCCTGCTTCCCAGGTCAAGTTGGGCACTTGCACAACACCTTTGACGTCAGAAGGCATGGAGGAGACGACAGCGCAGGAGTGGCACGTGCACCGAAACTAGGCGATCATTACCGGGATTTGGTCGTTGTCCATCTGATCCATGATGCCTGCTGCATGATACTTACAAGTTGATAACGATCTCTGGGCATTTTTTGTCTGCAATGTTCAACTGTCAATCAGTGATGGACATGTGTTTGGAGCATTCCTTCTTGGACGAGACCGCAATCTGGCGGGCTACCCAAAGCAAGCAAGGGCGGCACATGGAGTTCTGCGTGTGCCATCCCTAAAAGACCAGGTCCCGAAGTTTGTGTGATCAAACGGGCGAAGCACACCTTTGCCCGCCCTCACCAAGTCAAGCGGCAGCTGTTGCTACACATGCTTCTCAGGAAGCCCCGTGACGCTGCCCAGAGTGAAAGATGGTCAGAGGACGGTCTCCGATCAAAGTTTCAGCTCCGTAGCCGGGATTTGCAACTCCACTCACAGCCCGAAGGTTTCAACCAGAGGTTTGTGCCGTTCGTCCGCACTACATCACCCCTCCAGGCAACACCCTCCTTTCACAACGGATTGCAAGAACTTCACAGACTCATCTATGATTTGTACCACATCGAAACATTGCTTCCGTCTCTTGCCGTTGGATGCTTTGTGTGCCGATGCTATACTCCACTTGACTCTGTTCGTAACACCAGCGGCACTCCTCCTGAGCCTCCCCAGTACGCCTAGCGCATCACCGCAAGTCTTGATGCAGCTCAGTGGTTCTGTCATGACGCTGGATTTTCCAACACCAGCCAGCCACCTCATGTTCCTAGGACAACCGAATTGCAAATCGCTTTCTGCCAGACGACAGCGAATCTTGGGCAGAAAGCCTCGCGCGCCCCTACTAAGACTTAGTATTGCTCAGTCACAGAATAGAGGCTGGGTGTCTGGGATATCCCCACAACCAAAGCCCCAAACCTTCTCCCCGAAATCCCTACACTCGAAGCATCCTTACATCCTCCACCCGAATCACTCTGTAACCTAGCCGCGCTCTTGAGGAAATCTAGGTGGTGCTCAAGGAAACTTTACAATTTCGCTTATGGTCCCAGAGAGGCACCTACTCATAAAAGCCTTTTGGGCCCCTGAAACTACCCAGAGAGCCCAATACCCCTTAAGGAATACACCTTAAATCATTCGGGGCTTCATATTATGATTCAAGCTATATTCCTTAACTAAAGGGTATTGGGTACAACCCAGCTTAGGAATCCACTAGCACAGCAGCCAGCTTTCGCATGGCTGCCGCTACGAACTTACGGGCTGCTCGGCTTCAAGGAATTGGGTTCAGTTTTGGGTGTGGCGTCTCTCTTCCACGCATATCCCAAGCTCGTGGTTCAAAGAAGGGTTAGGGATGCAGAGTTCAGGGAGTTAGACGATTCAGTAATTTAGGGGTTTGCGGTTTGGGGTGGCCTTGGAGTTGAGGAGTGCGGCATTGATAAATGGGTGGTTGTCAAACTTATGGTCTCATTTGTGGGTACCCTAAATAATAGGGGCCGTAATATATTAAGGATCCAAAAAGACCATAATTTTGACAACCACCCACATCGCCGGGTTATTGCCGGGTTGGCGTTTAGGCTTGCTTGGAAGTTTGTGGTCGGAGGCAGTCCACGCTCGTGGTTTCTTCTCTGCTATGCTATTGTCTGTTCTGACTTTAGTACGTGTGGTGGCAGAATTTATATCATGATGCAGGTCATGTTTTTGTTTTTAAGTTGGTGTGTGTTGCTGGAGTTGGCTAGAGATGCAGGACCTCATGAACAAAGGCATTTCTGTCGTCAAAAACTCTGAAAATGTTTGAAATTCAAGTTTTCGAAACGTCGCGAAAACGGGCACGCCCAACGAGATCCTCAACTGAGTCCAGATTGCAGGAGGATGATGGCAGCTTGAACTCCCAAACCCTCACCGTCACCAAAGGCACACATCTCCATGCTGAGGTTTCGATTCGTCATCCAAGCAGACTGGGAAGTACCCTCATCTCGCGAGGGCATCCTGGGCGAGAGCGAGCGCAATCAGACCCTGAGGCTTTGAAGCGGGAGGTAACTTACATTTGGTTAGTAGGGAATGGAAGAATGGTAGTACAGTTATAATTGTACCCCATTCCTCCATTCCGTGCTAACCAAAGGTAAGGTAAAGGGGATGTTGTGGAACAGTTTGATTCGGAGGGGGCGATGTAGGTGGTTGTCAAAATTACGGTCCCTTTGGGGGTCCCTAATATAGTACGGCACCTAATATTGGGGGGTGTCCAAAAGGGGACCCTAATTTTGACAACTGCCCATGTGAATGAAGCCTTCTACAAGCTTCTGATTCGGCAGCAGACTTAGCGAGAGCCATTAGGACGGGCGCACTGCTCGTTGCAAGCTCAGGGAGAACCATAGGGTTATCATGAGGTTTGGATTCAGTCTCATGAAACTACCGCCCGCCCCTTTGGTTGTTCCAATCATTCGTGGCTGCGGCAGGCGGCGTCTCCCAGAGATTTTCTCGAACTTAATCGAAGAGCTGGCGGAGAGCGCGCTGCAGAAGACGCATGGTCAGAAGCGCAGGAACGCTTTCAAGAAAATCTATTCATTGATCCCACTCGTCGGAGAAGCCAGCGAGTTTTTCGCAGACACTCCGAAGTCCATCCTGCAGTTGCTCATGAAGAAGAAGTTCATCTTGGTGCAAGGGGAAGGTCGTCTCGACTTGGTGTCACCCGGTGAGGTTGTGAGGTTTGAGCTTCCTGATGGGGTCGATGCGCATTTGAGCGATGAGATCAGGAAGCCCTTGGAGGGCATTCTTAATCACCGCAAGCGCTACATCGCGGTGGAGGAGTTAAGCAAAAGCTTGGCCGACAATTTCAATATCCAACATCTCAACGCCAACATTGCCTTTGAGTGTCTGGACCACTTATCCCGTGAAGATGCTGATGCCAGACCACGGACAGAAGCCGACCTCGGGGTCCTCCAGGTGGGGATTTCCGAAAATAGGGGTACCCTAATATAGCACCCTAATTAGTAGGATCCTTATTAAATGGCCCCAAAATAAGGTGCCCCTAATTTCCGGAGGGGTTGTTCTAAATTATGGTCCCTTTTTGGGTTCATTACATAATACGGAGTATACTATTATAGGGCCCAAAAAGGGACTGTAATTTAGAACAGCCCCCAGGTGCTCTTTCATGTCATGGCTAGCCACCTTGAGAAGATGACAAAGGCGATGTTTGACAACCTCCGTGGACTGTCAGCCATCCCGACCGAAACTGGAAGGCTTTGTTCGGCAGCAAGTAAAGTCTACATCGTAGACGAGGCAATGGCCAAGACTTTCATGGGATATGCAGAGGGCCTCAATGTGCGATTTCGACGGGGTATGCATGCCAATGTGCAGAACCTGTTCACTCGCCTGGGTGTTCGACCGACCGATGGCCACACCTTTTTGAGGGAAGTCTTGGTCCCGATGCTTACAGCTGAGACTGCCTCCGATACCGAGCGGCTAGTCAAAGCCACCCAAAGCGCTCGGGGAATTCTGGCATCCATGTCAGCAGAGCAAAGAAAGCTCACAACCGCAGTGCTGCATGAGAAGATGTGGGTTGCTGTGGAAGTCGCCGGAGCCAATGAATTGAGCACAAGGACAGTCCGACTGTCCCAGGATGTAGTGCATATATACCGTTTGCCGGTGGCACTTGCTGCTGCATGGGCCGGGCCTACATGGTTGACCGCTAGTCGCTCATACTACTCTCAAATGGAGAATGATCCATATCAAAATTATAGCTGGGTCAATTTCTGGGAGGATCTTGGATGTTGGCCAGCACTCAGTGTGGACAAAGACGCAGCTCCCGCAGGTTCGGTTCAGAGCCGCGACTTCAACCACATCGTTCATTGCTTGGAGCAAATGCGCGCTACACCTGAATATGCTCAGAATGTGTCTTTGGATTTGGTGCAGTGGTTGGCTCCACACGGGTCTTTCTACGCCAAATACCTGGGAAGTCCAGTCCCCGTCGATCGAGGCCCCCATGCATCGTTCGCGAGCATGCTATTCAACACCGCATGGATGCCGTCACGGACTGGCGACCGCTTGTTGAGCCCACGTGATGGGTGGGTTCCAACACCTAAAAGCGAGGTCAGAGCACGAGAGTGCAGATTTTTGGCGACTAGCTGCTACCACAAGGCTGCGCAACTCTTGCTCGAGTCCTGGCCTTTCCTGCATTTGGCGCAAGCTCCCAATGCCAGCATCATTGTCCGCACCTTGAGCCACCATGCAGCACAGCCGTCAGCAGCCTGGAGCACTGGAGAGATGGCCAAAGTGTACCAAGCTTTGCATATGGCGTGTTGGAGAGAACACATTTCTGCTCCGCGTGGCGCTCGCGCGGATCAAGAAGATGAGCCAGCACCGGGCAGTCTACAGGTTCGCGAGTATTTACTTCACAAGCCCTGGATTTTCTTGCCTGACGAGAGATGCGGAAGCGTGAATCCAACCGACGTGGGGACGGGGAGATTCTTCACGGCAAGAGACGTGGCCATTCGAGACATGTCGGGCCTTTTCAGTGACCAGCAGCGTCGTGACAGTCGTGTTACAAATGACATCGTGAGGTTGGTTTCTCAGAGTGTTGCCATCCGAACAGTCAAGGAGCATTACCCTGACAAAAACGTTTTGGAGCTCTTCACCGACTGGGGTGTCGCTCCCGAGATTGGATGGGACTCGTACCTGGATGTGCTGAACACCGTACATGAACTTGTTTGCAAGGAAGACCGCAGTCACGTTTGGAGTGACGACCAAACTTTGCATCCCGTCCGTTTTCAGATAGTTTGAACCCTGAGCTTGTGAGTGCCAACTGCAGCTATTCGGCATCGTAAGATACTTGCTTGCTGATTTTGGAACTATCTCGTAGAGTGATTCAGGAGCTTAGGATACAAAATCTGGTCAGATGCATGAAAAAAATCCAGTGTAATTCAGGGCCCCTAAACCCTAACCCCTAAGTCTCCTACATCACTCCGAAATTCGAGAGGTCCTAGAGGCTGATCCACCAGAAAAGGCTCCGACTCTCACGTGGATATCATTCCGCTAAGCAATCGGTTTAGGGTTTAGGGACAAAGTCCACCAAATCACTCCAAAAATGAATCCGAACTCATTCGCTTTTCGCTTCAAACTCGCTTTGGCCGTCACTCCTCCCCGCGCTGCAAACTAAAATCACTGCGGAATCATCCCCGAATCAATGAAAGCACTCATGGCCCCCACCTCTCGCAGTCCTATGCGCAGCGGCCGCCACTTGCGAATCGCTCCGAGTTCACACCCAAATCAGTCGCAAGTCACAGCAGGAGTGATTCCAGAGTGATCTCGTAGTGCTTTTTCGGTGTAACACCTTCTTGTCATACCCGCTCACTCAAAATCACGTCGAAATCATTACAACGGTTACAGTTCCCTGAATTGGCATGCACAACAGCAGCATTAAGTGACATTCCCAGTCGCTGTGGAACGTACGAAGATTCCAAAACCTGACCTCAGAACCTCTTCAGGCATGAGATTATTTGGCGCATGATTGACATGGTTGGCTACTGCTGGCCGGAAGACCAAGGCAGACAGAATTCGAGTGCACGGATTGTAGAGTTCAGCACAGGTCAGGGAATGCGAGGGGCACGCACAGTGGTCGATCCTTGTCGGATCCGAAGATCTTCATGTACGCTCATGCCGACCAGGTCAAGCGATCGACGACCATGACCAGCTTCAACCGGATCAGGACAGCTTCCATAAGAGCCTCCATACTGTTGTCATAGAGGTGTTGCTCGTTTGTCGAAGGCATGGGCACTGTGGCTCAACCTGCTTGTTGTTCGGGCGCCTGGAGTGGTAATCCGAGCATTGTTCACTTCAGTCTTGCACTGCATTAATTCCCCGTTTCCACTCGCTCCGACATCGTGGAGTGCCAAGGACCGTAAGAGCTGCCCATTGAAATAGCTGGCAAGGAAGACGCCAGTGTCCCTGTGGTATGACAATATTGTATGGCGCAAGAACTCTTGCTTAATTTCTCAATTGTTGACTCGAGAAACAGTCTGGGTCGCTTCGTACTGTAGCGCACTATCGTCTGGCAGTGTGTTACGCTACAGGCCAAAGATACTGCTTAGTCAAAGAAACGGAGGTTATCCACGAGTGAGAGATGGCATACCCTGAGCATCGTTTATTGATTTAAATCAATACGGGGCTACACTGGATTGATTTCGGTGTAAAATCAATATAAACAAACTGATTCATTGGTGACGAAATCAATCTGAAACATAGTATTTGTGGCATAAAAAATCAATCCTGAAATCAATATATAACATGCTTCTAAATCAATGCAGGTGGAGGTGGGAAAGGTTTATTCAAGGGTTTGGTTGAGGGTTTGGCGTTGTGTTTGGGATTCAGTTTAGGGTTGAGGTCAAAGTTGAGGCTTAGGTTAGGGTTCCGTTTAGGGTTTGGTTTAGGGTTGAGTTCAGGGTTCGGCTGGGGATTGATAGCGTTGAGGTTAAGGAGGTCGAGGTTCGGGTTGAGGTTTAGCTTAGGGCTTGGTGTAGGGTTTGGTCTAGAGGTTCGTTTAGGGTTTAGTTTAGGGTTTATTTCGGTAGTTTAAGCTCGGGTGTAGAGTTCAGGGTTGAGTTGAGGGTTTAGTTCAGAGTTTAGATTAGACTTTAGTTGGGAGTTTAGGGTTGGGGTTCAGGGTTGGGTTTGGAGTTTAGGGGTGAGTTTAGGGTTTAGTTCAAGGTTTAGTTTAGGGTTTAGTTTAGAAACTGTAAGGTTTAGTTCAGGTTTTATCGTGGATTTAGGATATGGTTTAGGGTTTCGTTTAGAATTTAGCTTAAGGTGTTTTTAAGGGTTTATTTTAGGGTTCCGTTTAGGATTTTATTATGGGTTGGGTTTAAGTTTGGAGTTGAAGTTCAGATTAGGTTTGAGGTCAAGGTTAGGGTTAAGGTGTAATTAAGGGTTTAGTTTAGAGTTGAATGTAGGGTTGGGGTTATCTTTATATGCATAAAATGTATTCAGAAGCCTTGAGAAAGGCTGCTGTAATAAATCATAGTTTAGTGTATGTGATAGATCATCAGATATTATTTTATAATATTTGAAGGTAAAATGTGACATGTAAGAAAGTTTTTAGAAATACACATTTTGTTCTAGAACAATTAAAGAAATATGAAATATGATGAAATATGATGAAATCTATGGATTTCATCATATTTCATATGTTTCACATTTTTCTAATTTCGTTTCTGTAAAAATTAAAAGTCAATTATTTATACCCTGAAAAACAAATTATATAAGTCTTAGTGTCATAATAATTATAGTTAAGTTTCTAATTCACAAATATACTGCAACACGTAGCGCTATTTTCCATTTAGCGGTAAAATCCAGAAAGCAAGATACACAAATATAGATACTTATTGACATAAAACTTATTCACGTATGTATATATATATATATATATGTGTAATTTAAAACACCAAAACCTCAGCCCATTAACCTCAAATCCCCAAGCACCCTAATCCTATAACCCAATTTCTAAATACTACAGTTCACACCCGGAAGCCTAACACCATAACGTCCTGAACCCCACATCCTATACCCTGAATCCCAAAACCCTTGTGACCTAAAGCACTTATCCTAAAACCTACATTCCTAAACCCTTAATCCTCAATCCCAAACCCAAACATCCGAAGCCGCAAGACCTAAAACTCTAACAACTTAAGCCTGGATCTTATAACGTAGAAATAACACAAAACAAACGACAACATAAATAGTTACCGATTATATAATTCTACGTATACCAAATATAAATCGTAAGCCTTTTGCAAGGCTTCCCGGCTTCAGGTTTGGGGGTCTACGATTCAGGCTTCGGCTGTCGGGGTTCAGGTTTAAGTTGTCGGGTTCAGTGTAGGGTTTTCGGGTTTAGAGCGGGCTCCAACACCAAAATAAAAGACTTGAACTCTCAGACAAGCCGGCTTGGCTTTCTCTGTACACTTTCCGGAAAAAAGGGCCAGCGCCGGGCCCCCGATGGGTTTGAGCCCCGATGCTGCCGCATAACTAGCATGACCACCTGCCTATCAAGTTGGAAAGCATCCTGAAATCAATCTGCAAAATCAGTATGCAACATGTATATCCAAATCAATATAGAAAGCGCTGGAAATCAATATAGCCTATATGGATTTTATCAATCGAAAAAGCCAAAATCAAAATCAATCTAGAATTTATTGTTTGTTTTGATTGTAATCAATTTTCGATGCTCAGGGTAGTAATCAGCTGCCGAATTTTCATGCGTGCCTGCACGTCTATTCGAGGATGGCGACGAGACGCAATTCGCTGCACTGCGTCACTTTGTTCAACAAGCCCGTGAGCTGCGCATTTGCTTTACGCAGTCCAAGCGGTTTCTGAAGCCAAGCGACGTGGAGTTTGTGGCGAAAGATGCTTCAAGCTGGTTCGAAGAAGCGCAGAACTTTGCAGCGCTGCTTCCCGGCACCCGTGATGATGGCAACTTCTCTGCACCAAAGATTTCTTTTGCTGTAGCATACAGCCGGCCGTATGTAGCGGAAGGAAGATGTCTGCGACCACCAACAATCACGGCATGTCCTCAGCGCTGCTTCATAGGGACCCTTGGGGGGAAGGGAGGTAGGAGGCCTTAATACCAACACTAAGGCCTGAATTGTTCATGGAAGTATATAGTCCCTACCCCGCTAAGGGTCCCTATACTCCCATGCTCCAGGCCGAATTTCTCGGGGTTGGTATCGCCTGGGACTTCGCAGCCCGGACCTGAGCTGGCTGCAACTCGCTCGCTAATATAGGGGCCTTATAATAATTGCCAATACTGTTTTGGGGCTTCCTTATAATGGGCCCCAAAACCCGATTCTAATTATTGAGGCCCCTATATTACGTTTCCTGATTGCGTTGAAATGTTCTGTCCAAACACGTTTGCAGACTCTTCACCGCAGGATGGAAGCATCGGTGTGCATTCCGGAGCATCCTGCCCGAAGTGACCCCGCAAAATGCCATAGAGGCAAGACTGGCAAGAGGGCTTGTCCTGGCAGGAGTACTGCCCTTAGTTACTTCACATGCACATCCACGCAGCTCCCATGGGCTCCAGCTAACGAGAAACAGGGAACAACAGTTTTCTAATTATATATGTAAGCCAGTAATCCATTAGATGCACTGGAGCCCTGTGGGGGTTGTGATTTGATGCGCTGGAACATCGACGTCATGTTCTTGAGCCAGTGATCCTTATACCCGCCCAGGTCCGAAGTGCCCTGCTGAAGTTTGTGGCGCAGCACAAGGGCATGTCGGATGGGATGAAAAGGGTACTCCGGATGGCGTGGCAGCTGGCGATCGCAACGAAAGTTGTCTGTATCTGTGATGGCAACAACTCTGCGGACGTGCTGCTGGCACAGGAAGTGGTAGCCTTGCCTCAAGGCAGATTGGAAGCAAGCGGACTCGCGCCGTTGGAAGAAGATGCATCCAATACGATCCTGGTCGGTTCCCGCGAAGACTTTGTTGTTGCCCGTATCAACTCCCCCGTCAAGGATACCTGTCTCGCGGGGTACATAATGCCGCGTACCCAGCCGCATGCAAATATGTGGTCGCTTTGACTATGCTTTGCCACGGCTGTTTGTCACCGCCAGTTGCACCGTCTCATGTCAGTCATGAAAGTCCTGCCATATGTGAGGTCAGCTGGAGCACGACAGCCTGCCTTGGCCTTGTACGTAGAGGCGAACCTTTGGACGGCCTACGTCATCGAAAAGCACTGTGCCGAAGCAGCTGCGGATCTTCTGTTTTCAGAGCTGCCTCACCATTGCACGGAAGCTCAGGGCATGTCGGAAGACGATCTCGCTGCTATCAGGAAGGAGACACCGAAGCTTATCTCCACGATTGCGGATAGGGCGAAGTCACAGCAATCGCAAGCAAGACTGCCATCCGGGGCGAATGTGCTCAAGGCAGTGGAGGAGAGGGTTCCTCAATGTTCCTCATACTTGTACCACACATTCATACAATCAGAGGTGGTTTGAGTTTGAGACACAGCGGCGCTGTGCCAACAAGTTTTATAGCATGGAGCTTTCTGTTATGTTATGTCCGGTCTTGATGGGATGACGTACACATGACTATGACAAATGATCCGTACACTGTCACTGTCAATTACAGGTCAGGTCAACCTGTGATGTGCAAACCAGTCTACACTGCACGCATGTGCAAGGCATGCACAGACTGTTGCAAGGCTCGTTGGCTACCGATTTCTTGTGCCGATCAGGCCGCTGTTTGCCCAGCTGTCTGCAGGTGCTGAAGATGCGGAGACATAGATCGACTTCAAACCATCCACTTGCACGCAGTGTGCGGAACGGCAGTAATTTTGCGAAACACAAGAATATTCATGTCGCTGTTGAGAATCGTGTTGCCACAGGCCAACGTGACCCGTGCGCATTCTAAAAGATTGCCCCTCTTCGAAAAAGTGTTTTGTTCATGTGGGGGTATTGGCTTGCCGCGACATGGATGTTGATCGCAGGCCAAGCAGTGTCTGTGAAAGTGAGCCCACATTTTTAGAGCGAGGCGGGCTAGCTAGACTCGATGAATGGAGGAAGTGCTGGGTTCAGGTCCCTTCTCATGAATCTCTGACCCAGTCTTTTCATGCCCTTGCTAAGTGACTAGGCCCTTGAAGGCAGCACCACGGAGAGATTCATGAACATGGACAGTCGCAGTGTGTCGGCAGGATGCTGTGAAGATATCGGGGGCGAAGTCAAAGCTTGGCTGGGCCCAAAAGCAGCAATGGAGTCTGTCGGATGCCTTGGCTATCGAGCCAGAGGAGGCTTGGCAGCAGCTCCTGGCGGGGGAGGCCGATGAACAAAAGGAGCCGTCGAGCTCTTCAGCAGCGGCGGTTCGGCCCGGAGGAAGGGACAACCCACCGGACGATGGGCACCCAGCAACTCGGCAGATCACAGACTTCACAAGCTTTTGCCTGCTACATTCCTAGCAGCGAACACGCGCTTGTAAAGGCGCAATGTGAAGGAAGACTGCTAAGCGCGGCCACACACGGCTCATGCCTGATGCCTCATATGCAGGTCTTTGCTCATGGCATCACTCCAGGGCCCTCAAACGACGTGTAGCGGCTCCCCAAGCGTAGCAAGTCCTTCTCCTGGCATTTCAAGGTGAGTCAGGCTACACCGGAGCCCAGGCAAGCTGCGACGGACGACAGGGAAAGTAGCGACGAGGAGCAGGCCGGGTTAGTTGGATTTATTGAAGCGGGTTCCTGCAAAGGTACTTCGGTGCTCAGGGTTCATGGTGTAAACTCAAAGTAAGTTAGTAAGTACAAAACGTGTATGTAGGTACTGGGGCTATTGGGGTTTTCAATAAATCGGAGGTTAGCTGTCCCACTGGTGCTGGATTGTTGGTGTTCCTTTCAGTTCGATTGGGTGCCCCTGAGTGGAAATCCAGCTTCAGGTGTCCAGAACTGATCTCGAGGTGTGAGCGTGGCATAATTTTCCCAGTAGTAGCGTAGGTAACCTTTAACCTTTTTTGGGTAGTATAGTCCCTATATAATCCCTATATATGAACAAAATTTAGTTCCCCATGATACCCGACAAGTAGGACAAAGTTTACATAGAGGCCGATGAAGCAGCGAGCTGGTTAATGCCGCTGCGGTTTCTGCGCCGAAGTCTGCGGGTCGGATGTTCTAGAGGCTTGTAGTAAAAGGCAACCCCAATGTGCCCTTGTTTAGCTGATGTACGCTGACTCTAGAGGGAGGCCGTCGCGCATGCAGGGGGGTTCAGGATGGTATCGAAATGTGCGGGTGAACATGGAAAGCTTCCAATTATGCTTGCCACCATGGGCTTACCCCAGCACCCCGGCCTTGTACAGGTAGCCGGCTTGGATGACGGCCGGCTGCGAAGGTTCGTGGACCGTCAAGTGGCCGCTGAGCTTCACATGCTAGCATCATCTATCAGCCTGCACTGACTGCATGGTGCCTATGCAACGCGCAACTCTCCTCGAAGAAAATAATTCTACGTAAAGAGTCTTGAGCTCCGCGGCGGCAGAGGAACGTGAAGTCGAGCGCCAGCGGCCCACTGTCCGGCCAGTCTCGGTCGCTGGGCTTGAGTCGATTACTTGTTCCATGCTCTTTGGTCACAAATCAATCAGAACCTAAACCCTAAACCCTAAAAAGCCCTAACTGAGATGGTGGGATCTTAAGTTGCGATTCAGGATGTCGTGTTCGGATGGGCCTTTGGAGACTTCAATTCAAGACTTCTTCTTCGAGACTCCAGGGAGTAAGGCCCCTGAGTTTTGCTTGGCACATCGAATCCGTGTCGTGGATGGTTCCAAGTGGGGTTATAAGTCCCCTAAAATGGGTTATAAGTATAGTTACCTTACTTATAACTGTACTTATAACTGCCCAGTTGTCCTCCTCACAACTGCCAGCGCCAGCTCACTCTATTCTCTTGGGTAGGGGTCCACATGCCCTGCGCCTGCAGTCGGCACACCGCTGAGGAGTTCCCGTCGGTCACACCGCATGGCCTCCCCACTCCGGGTGCCGAAGGCAATGTTCACGTTCAAATTGCCACGAGGGTCTATGACACATTTTTCCAGATGCTTCCTGGCTTGTATTTCTACAAGTCAAGATGCATTCAACAGCAACAGGGCGCAGCTAGGTACAGTTGACGGGATGTCGTTGATATTCTTTGTTTCCATGTGGGGACTGTTCCTGTCTAAGTCATCCTACCGCAAACCGAAGCAACTTCCGGCCTGAAGGCAGACTCAAGATTTCCCTGGAGAGGCTTCAGGGTTTGGGTGATCAGGTCTTGCAGGCTTTTGGCGCCTCCAGTCTTGAATCCATAACCGAAGCCGCAGAAGCTGGACTCCATACAGCACGGAAGCCCCTAAACTAACCTCTAGACCCCGAAACCCCTTAACCCCTAACCCCTAAACCCTGAAACCCTAAGCCCTAAAACCCTAAACCCCGTGAAAAGGTGGCACAGGCAGCTGGGCCGGGCACTATCCGCAACCAAACACTGCCACACAACGAGGCCGGAAGCTTACGGGTCCGCAGGTTACCGGGCTTGGGGTGTGGCGGTTAAGGTTTAGAGGTTTAGGGTTTTTGGGTGTGAGCTAGTCTGGGATCGAAGCTGAAGCTGGCGGTGCCATGTAAGATATCCCTTTTCCACCCGGCGAGTTACATACTGTTCTTGTGTTTCGCGTTTGGCAGCGATACTACATGTCCTCGGTTTTGCTAGGCATTCCACTAAATGTTCAAGCTCGCATGCTACATGTGACGCTGACATGCCTGTTTTTGCACGCCGAGCAGGGTCAGGCTCCTGCGGGTGGGTGGATACTGCTTTATGGTGCTCGCGACAGGCATCAAATCGGTGATCTGCATGCGGAAGCTGTCGTACTACAGCAATACAGTGCAATCGATGGTAACACACGTAATATATACATGGGCACCAGGGACATGCATCGAAAAGTTGTCCTCCTCTGCCAGTTCCGTTTGCCTCACATACTGGAAAAGACTCCTCTCGATTGTCGCGTGCTATGATGGTACGGAGTAGGGGCCTGACGCCCACAAGCTTTGCCCCCAAGGCCCAGTGGATCCCTGCATCGCAGCAGCTCCGGCAAGGGGAGGCATCCTGGCAGCATCTGAACCGCTTGAGGATAAGGCCTGTAAGTAGCATCATTGGAGTTTTCGCCAAGAAACAGCACCGTGCAGGTATGTGTAGGTGAGGTGCTTTGCAGGTGATATGAATCCTGCTTTACCTGCCATCTGCATAATAATGTCTTCGCGTGCCGAACATCGGATTCAGTGATCCGTCGTCATTGAAGCAGAAACATCCATTGTTAGGTATGAGTTTTGATTTGCGAATACTTCAAGACCATCCTTTGGAGTGCAGGCTCGTGCGCGTGATCATGTGTGATGTGATGTGAACCTCGTGCATCATACGTTCACAGTTGGGTTGGGAAAGGGTCGGTGCACTGCTTGAACACACGCTTGTTTCTGACCCTCACTGCTTCATGCTGCATGCTTCTATAAGTGGCAGCCAGCCATTGTCGCTCAGGCCGGGCAGCTGGTGGTCAGGAAAGCGGCACTTCTCCATCCGGCGGCCTGTCATGCAAGAGATTTGTGGCAGTGCCCTTCATGGTATCACGGTATCATCCCGAAAGATATGCACGCTGCATGTGACTGGCTGTACAGGGCATTGCGGCAACACGCTAGAAGCCAGAGCTGCACGCTCACGCACCGGTTCTGCGATGGAGCAAACAACAGGTCTCTTTTCAGTATCATTGCTGCATGTTTGGAGCATTCTGGAGCCGTGGCAGCGGCAGAGGCCCCTCCGCCTCTGCACAGGCTCCTGCAGCAGGCGCACATTTGTTCGTTGCATGAAGCGAAAACCCCAGCGGGCTCGAAATGCCGAGTTTTATCACTGTGTCAAGATATTCTCAATCAAGCATACGGCCCGGCTTGCAGAGCAAGTTCACGCAGTCAAATGGGCTCATTTCCGCGTGAGCCTTGTAAATCCATTGTGGGAGGTGACCGCACCGATGCAGATCCCTGGGATGCAGGAGGCTTGCGCAGCCTCTGGGGGCTCGGATGGTTCCCTTCAGAAGAATGCGGGGAGGGGGGTTTCGGCCTCGTATGGCTGAATTGGGCTCTGCAAACAAATAGCCCGGGCGTTTCTGCTCAGGAGACCCTTGGTCGCAGCATGGCCAGCCAGGCCAGGCGGTTTTTTTTCAACTGTGCAAGCCAAGCTGTGGACTTGTCGTGCAGTTGCAGAGTTTGGGCGCGAACATGCCCATGGCTTTTGTGAAGAGGATGGTTTTCAAACCCACTATATGCACTACTCTGCAACACTGCTACATTGCTACATGTTCCTGCATTGGGCGTGCGGTTGAGAAGCCGTTTCTTTGTTGAAGCATGTTTGCTGCATGGTTTCTGTATGTGAAAGTGCAGCGATTGGCATAGTAGCAGAGGCGCTCCAAGCACCGGCGCCGCTGCATCCGGAGGCTGCCTGTCTCCAACTCGTTGCTGCTGCCCTCTTCAAGTTAAAGTTCAACCTCAGCTTGCGTCCGGTAATGCTTGAACGGGACTGCCGTTCTCGGGCATTTATGTTCAGGAGAGCCTTGGTCGCAGCACGGCCAGCCAGGCCAGGCTGTTTTGTTGCTGTGCAACCTGCAGACTCGTTACCCATTTGCAGAGCTTGGGCGGAGGTGCCCATAGTCATTGCCAATGCGTAAGGTGTTCATTCAAACCACTTGGAGGTTCATGGGTAGTTATATGTAGGGTTATAAGCAGAGTAACTATACTAATAACCCATATTAGGGGACCTATAACCCTACTTCTAACTATCCATGAACCTCCAAACAGTTAGATTGTGTACCAGAAGCCACGTCTTCGCGGAGCGATCGCTACGCTCGCAAGAGGCCAGGCTGGCGGCCCTGCTGCTCCAAGCACCAGCACCACCGCATCCGCCGGCGCCGGCGGCGGCTTGTCTTACCGTTGGTTAGCAGGGAATGGAAGAATGGTTGTAATATAGTAGGTATAATTATACCCCAGTCCTCCACTCCCTGCTAATTAAAGGTAAGTTGTCTCGAGTGCACTGTTGCCTTGGTCGCGTTATCTTCAAACTCAGCATGTTGATCTGCAATCTAAGAGTGCTTCTTCTGGCCCAGTGCTGGGGATTGTAGCATTCCTGTCGCATGCTTCTCCGAACAACGCAGTCTTAGGGAGACCCCTTAAAACTGGACCCTTCTTAACCCTACTGGCTCTCTTACAAGGGACCTTGTTGAGAGGGTCTATAGTCTATATCCCCAACGGTCTCTCTAATCCTAACTGGTCCTAACTCATAAACAAGTAACTGTTGTTGCCGATGCCGTTTGTCCTGGCGGAGAACTGTTTCCAGTACCTCTCATGAGCTCTCTGGGGCTACGCAGGTTGCACATGTGTCTTTCAGGCCCCAGGATGTCGCAGAACGATTGATGCATCGGTTCTGTGATTCAGGCGATTGCGGGATGTTCTGGGGCCAGCTGTACAAGGTTGCAAGGGTCACAAGATGGTTTGACCTATTTTCGGAAACCCCCATTTGTTCGTTGCATTAATGTGGGCCTACATTAAGCGAAAACCCACCGGGCCCGCAATGCCGATTTTTATCACCGTCGCATGATACTTTCAATCAAGCATACGGCCCGGCTTGCAGAGCAAGTTCACGCAGCATTGTGGGAGGTGACCGCACCGATGCAGATCCCTGGGATGCAGGAGGCTTGCGCAGCCTCTGGGGGCTCGGATGGTTCCCTTCAGAAGAATGCGGGGAGGGGGGTTTCGGCCTCGTATGGCTGAATTGGGCTCTGCAAACAAATAGCCCGGGCGTTTCTGCTCAGGAGACCCTTGGTCGCAGCATGGCCAGCCAGGCCAGGCGGTTTTTTTTTCAACTGTGCAAGCCAAGCTGTGGACTTGTCGTGCAGTTGCAGAGTTTGGGCGCAAACATGCCCATGGCTTTTGTGAAGAGGATGGTTTTCAATCCCACGACTGAATTGCTACATGTTCCTGCATTGGGCGTGTGTTTGACAAGCCGTTCTTTGTTTGAGCATGTTTGCTGCATGGTTTCTGTAGTGAAATGGTTGCGATTGGCAGAGGCGCTCCAAGCACCGGCGCCGCTGCATCCGGCGGCTGCCTGTTTCAAATTCTTTGCTGCCGGCTTCAAATTGAAATTTAACTTGAGCATACGTCCGGTAATGCTTGAACGGGACGCCAGTTCTCGGGCATTTATGTTCAGGAGACCCTTGGTCGCAACACGGCCCCCCGCCAGGCCAGGCTGTTTTTTGCTGTGCAAGGCTGCAGGCTTGTCTTGCAGTGCAGGCGTTATTGCAAAAGAGCATTGTCTTGTGCCCCGCTTCTGCCGCTACTCTGCAACACTACTACGTTGCTACATGTTCCTGCATTGGCTGGGTGGTTGAGAAGCCGTCTCTTCGTTGGAGCAGCTTTGCTGCAGGCAGAAGTGCTCCAAGCACCGGCGCCGCTGCATCCGGCGGCGGCCCGTCTCAAATTCGTTGCTGCCCTCTTCAAGTTGAAGTACAACCTGAGCATGCGTCGGTAAAGCTTGAATCCGAGTGTAAAATTAAGGATATCGCTTTTATATACCCATTATATGGCCCATTATAGGGTAGGGGTCCCCATTAAGGGCCCCTCCTTTTCCCCTTCGATTGAACAAGCCTGTAGAGCTCGGACATTTCTGCTCAGGAGACCCTTGGTCGCAGCATGGCCAGCCAGGCCGGGCTGTTTTGTTGCTGTGCAAGCTGCAGGCTCGTCTCGCAGCTCCGGGTGTTTGGCGAATACGGCCTTATTGTTGCAAAGCAGCATGGTTGTCAAACCCGCTAGCGTTCCTTAATGTTCCCGCATTGGCTCGGTGCTTGAGAAGCCATTGCTTCGTTTGAGCATCTTTGCTGCAGGCAGAGGTGCTCCAAGCACTGGCGCCGCTGCATCCGGCGGCGGCGGCTTGTCTCACGTGCACTGTTGCTTTCGTCAAGCTGATCTTCAGTCTAAGCGTGTTGATCTTCAATCTAAAAAAGATTCTTCTAGCCTGGTGCGTTGATGGTTCCATTCGCGTCGCATGCGTCTTCGATCAAGTACGTAACTGTTTTTGCTGATGCCGTCTTCCTGCCAGACAACTGTCGCCAGTACCTCTCATCTGTTTTCTGTGGCGATGTGTTGCACATGTGTCTCTCAAGCCGCAGGATGACTCAGGACAATTGATGCCTCTGTTCTGAAGACATCGTCTTCTTAGTACCATTGCTGCATTTTTGCACGACTGAGTGGAGCCGTGGCAGAGGCCCCTCCGCCTCTACACAGCGTGCCGGCACTGCTGGATCCGGTGGCCAAGCTTTGATATGGTTCCTTCTGTACTATATCCCGAGAGCACGCACAAGTGTTACGTCCTGGCCACAGCAGTGTTTGTCTAACAGGAGAGGCGCGAGTTGATCAGAGGATCTGTCGTCTTAAAACCACATATATATATATATATATATATATGTATACGTATGTATGTATGTATGTATATATATATACATATATACATGCATATTATATATATATATATATATATATATAGTGGCCCTACTTTTACTTTGAAAAGCCGCAGCGATAGACCGGAGGCTCGTCGGCCGCGCATGGCCCTCATACTCAGAGCACGGCTGCTCATGGTTCCGGCAGCCTGTCAGGCAGCAGTCGTGCAGGGGCCATTCTGGATTGAAACGGCGAGGGAAGATTTCGGGCAACTCAGCGAGTGTGCATTCAATGATGTGCTTTCTAAAGTTCGCAGCTTGGCGCAGCTGGGGCCGGCGAATCCTGAGCCCTAAACCCCTAAACCCCCGAACACTAAATCGTTTGCAAGGGGTTCAGTTGGTTCAAACGAGGCCGAGATCTCCGAGCCTTAAGCGGAACTGTTGAAGCATCCGGCTTCCGAGTGTCAGTTCCTGGGTCGAAAGACGGTGCTCGGCCCTTTTACTGCGTTCCCAGACCATCTGAACTGCAATGCGAAGCTCAGTCCCCGTACGATCGAAGGTCAGTCGACAGCTGGTGCCGCTGCAGATGCTCTTGCCGAGGGACACTTTGGCAGCCTGTCGCAAGTTGAGGCTTATAGATCAGCCCGTTTACTTCGACCTAATCCTGATGCAGCCGTGACTGGTAAGAAGCTTATGAAAATGTCAGGGATAATTCAGCCTCGTCTTCTGGACCCGTGGCAACAACTTCGGTTCTTGCTATTCAGGCCTCTTATTAAATGTCAGGATTCAGTTCAGAAGTTCCACCACCCCGCCCTTGTCTGCAACATCTAGGCAGCTGAATGTCGATTTCCATCACTATGCCAATTTACTCCAACCCTAACCCCGCGATTCTGTACCGGTAGACCCCCCCGGACTCTCTTCTGGATGCAGGTGCCCGGCCGGTTAGGTTTAGGTTGGTTGGTTGGTTTAGGGTTCAGGGTTTCTACCCTGTACTTGAATGTTCATGGCTAGTTATAAGAGGGATTATTAAAACATCAATGAAAGTGTACAAAATTAGTCTATATCTGTCTTGATTTGGCTTTAAAAGTCTCTATTTGTCTTAACAGTCTTCATTTGTCTTAAAAGCCTGCTTGTCTTTAAAAGTCTGTATTTGTCTGTTAAATGGTTTTATGTGTCTTTATTTGTCGTTAAATCGTTATTTGTCCGTCTTTATGTGTCTTTATTTGTTTTTAAAGTCGAAAAAGCCCTGTGGATCCAAACCTTGTGGTTCTGCCCGTACGTGTCGCACGAAACCTCCATCTACTTCCTAACCACAGGCCCCATGGTAGTTCCTTTTTAGGATTACCTTATAGGATTCTATATAACTACTTTGAAGCCTATGGGTAGACCCTGAGCCCACATTATGAAAGGTTCCTGGGGGCCCAGGTCTCGCGAGAAACCGCTGGCGCCGCGGTCAGGGACAGCAGGAGGAGCCGCAGGCTGTCACGTACATGGGTGGTTAATAAGGGGTACCGGGGTACCTGATTTGGGGGGTCCTTATAATATGGATCCTACTACTTAGGGTATTATATTGGGGTCCACTATTTCCGGAAACTCCCAGACTGAAGTAGATGGCTGATTGGTAAAATTTGGGTCTTTTCTGGGGTCCTTAGTATAACACGGCACCTAATATTTCGGGTACCCAAAAAGGGACCCTAATTTTTCCAACCACCCACATGCAAGTCGTGGCCTGTAGTACACGCAAATACATGGGCATTTCCTGCTTTGACTACAACCGGAAACCTTTGCACTGTTTGCGACACTCTGAACCTAAAAATCCTTAAACCCTGAACCCTGAAACCCTATACTTGAACTATGTATGAAGGCTGGCCGGGGCAGCGTTCAGGCATGGCTAGACGCTGCTCCTGCAGGCGGGTTGCTCTCATGGCTCCTGTGAGGTTTACAGAAAGTTATCGAGAGGAGGAGGTACTGGAGGTACTTTGACCCCAAAAGTATATAGAATAATGGCCATTGGTAGGTTTTGGACTGATTCAGGTTTTGGACAGTTATTTTGCCTACTTGTGGGGCTTTATGGCATTGAACTATTTAGCTACAGGTCTCGGCGCCAAGCTTCGGGATGGGTGCGGGATACCCGCTGCTGAAGCACTAAACACCGACGCATCTGGCTAGACTCAAACTGCACACCATGGTTAAGAATTGCCCCAGGATGCCTGCTGCCTGTGCCCCGTTGTCCATCGTGCCGCCCGAAGTTCTTTTGAGTTTTGCTTGCTTCGCATAACTCGGCAGGCAGTCGTGGATCTCATACTGCAGAAGGAACAGGTACGGGCGGTGGCGGTGACCAGCGTGCTGGGCTTGCAGCTGGCAGTGGTGCAGCCGCTACCACCACGAATGCCACGGAGGCAGTGTCCGTGTTCTTGTTGAAAGCACCAACTAAACTATATGGTCCTGATACTGGAAGCATTTTCTTTGCATTCCGTGTACACTGGTAGGTAACTCCACGATAGGCTCCATAATTAAAAACTCCAGGCATCCGGCAATGCCTCCGGCAGCAGAGGCCGCGCCGGGCTTGGCAGATCGGAGAGCACCAGGGCGACGACGTCTGCAGAAGGGGGAATCTAGGTGGCATGGGGAAACTTACGAACTTCCCTTTATGGCTGTACCTATTCGTAAATACTTTCCAGGGCCCCGAAATCAAAACCACAACCCAGGAGATGCTGCCACCGGATCCAGCCGTGGGGCGGGCAACGGAGGCGTTAGCTCCACCGGAACTTCAGGGGTACTTAGAAATATATTTTGTATTTTTTGTTATTAGAATCCCTAAGAAACAGCTGAAATTAAAATTTTTGGTTATTATAATCCCTAAGAAACAGCTAAAATTATAATTTTTGGTTATTATAATCCCTAAGAAACAGCTAAAATTATAATTTTTGGTTATTATAATCCTTAAGAAACAGCTGAAATTATGATTTTGGCTAGGGTTCTAAGTTCAGAATAGGAACCACTGCTGACGGCATCCCTGAGACTGCGACATCAAGCGCGCAGAAGCGCAGCATCAGTGCTCCTGCAGTTCTGTCAAGGCTGGCTTCCCTTTTTTGCGATGAAATGTGGGAGTTTCCGAAAAAAGGGGTACCTTATTTTGGGCTCCTTATACTAGGGATCCTACTAAGTTCCTACTATTTAGGGTACTGTATTAGGGTCCCCTATTTTCGGAAACTCCCATGTGGGGGCTATGTCCTGCCTTGACTAGTTTATTGTTATATTGGACAGGTGTGTCTCTGTTCATCTTATCTGCGGTGGTCTGCTCCTCTATCTAATCTGTACACGTGCTTGTTTGCATCGCTCGCTCGCTCGCTCTCGATCTCTGTCTCCCACTCTCACTCACTATCACTCTCACCCTCTCTCTCTCTCTCACTCACTCACTCTCTCTCTCTCTCTCTCTCTCTCTCTCTCTCTATCTCTCTCTCGCTCTCTCGCTTTCGCTCTTGCCGTCTCCTCGTCGCACGCACAAATGGTTCACAAGCCTGCACACATGCATGTAATGTATGTATGTATGTATGTATGTAGGTACGTATGTATGTGTTGATGTCTGTATGTATGCATGTATGCATCTGTACATACGTGTGCCTCTATATATATATATATATGTACCCATCCATGCATGCATATACATATATATACACATATATAAACACATATGTATCTCTCTCTCTCTCTCTCTCCCCCTTCTCTCGAGGTGGGTCTGTGAGAGGCTGGTTGCGCGTGTGCGTGTGTAGATGCTGAGTGCCTCAAGCTATGATTCTTCAGGGCTCCTTATTCGAGTTATACTGTAAGTAGGATGCACCTAAAAACCAGTTCTGGCCACTAAGGCCGCTATATGAGAGTCTGCCTCCACCGCTCCCCCAGCCCTGAAGCTGCCGTAAAGAGTGATGCTACCTTGGTCAGGGCGCATGCAGCTGCTCTTGGACGAGATTCGACCACCCGGCAAGATGAAGTTTCGTTGCAGGCCCGGGTTAGGGTTTAGGGTTTAGGGTGGTTGCATGTGGCTGAGGGTTTTCAAACGTTTTGCAGGGCTGGCACACTTACGGAGGTTGTAGCGACGTGGGTCACCTGGATCCAGTTGGAGTTCTTCGGAGTTCTGCTGGACTTTTACATGCATGAGGATCTACTGCAGAGTCTTGGCGATGCCTTCCTTTGTCTTCATAATTCCCTCTATCAAAATCATCAGTTCGTCAGCTCGTTCAACGTTCAACAGCGTATCCGACAGTGTAGCTCGTAAGATAATGCGTATTGTGCGTACTTAGCCTCAGCATCTCGCCACGAGTGCGATGTGCTTGGGGATTCTGGCCGGGCGAGCACTAATCAAGCCTGTGGAAAAAGGGTTTAGGGTAGGGTTTAAGGTTTAGGGTTTAGGGTTTAGGATCCTTGGGGGGGGTAAGGGGGAGGGGGGTATTAGGGGACTATACTTCCTTTTCCCCCCCCCCTACCCCCCAAGAGGGTCCCTATGTCTCGGTTTAGGGCAAAGGATGGATGGAGAAGCCGCTTGGGCACTTTTGGCCTTTGGCAGTCTTGCTGACGGCTCGATCGTCCGAACCTGTGGGCATCATGTTGATGTAAGAACTTGCTGACCAAACCAGAATATTGAAGTAGTAACAGCGACCTTGAGTTCAAGAAGCATCCCAGTGCAACTGTGTGCCCAAGCCCCAACAAAAAGGACGCACGCATGCAATTCCACGATCCGGGTAACAGGCAGCCCTCCACGGTTTCAATCCGAAAACCCAAGACCGAACAAATCCCATATGGGTGGTTGTCAAAAATAGGGTCCCTTTTGGGGTCCCTATTATAATACGGCACCTATTATTTAGGGTACCGGGTACCCAAAAAGGGACCCTAATGTTGACAATCACCCAGGTCTCGTCGGTTCCCGTACCCTGCAGCTTAGCCTCCTAAGCAAGACGAGCCATCGAAGGTCAGGACTGCCATGACCAAGTCACTGCTGGAGCCATTCCCGAGCAATCTTGTGCACCCCACGCAACTTGGGTAGCATATTATTGCTTGAATATTTGCCAACACGATTTATATAGATCTTCTTATTGTTTGTTGGAGAAAGTGCCCTAAAACACTAGTTCAACTAGTATGGCACCGGTTCTAGTTGCAGTATGGAATGCTTTTCACCAAGCCCTCGATGGAGGTGATTGCCGATGTTATGACTTCGGACATATTTCGGTGAACTCAAAGGTCAATCTGTTGTTGTTTACGGCATTTCGCCTTTGGATTTCCTTTCTTTTCTACACGTGAAATGCCTTGGAGGCGTTGTATAGATATGCATATATAGAGGCTTCTGTCGTTTGTTTGTTTGATCTAGTATGTGGGCGATGCTAGACCTTGAACTTCTAGGTCCACCAATCCCTGCACCCCGTAGGGGTACTCGCACCTATGTCGGTACGTCTGTGTTAAGTCTGTGGATGTGTGTGTGTGTGTGTGTATGTGTATACATATGTATATTATAATGTGTATGTATGTATGTATATATATATATATATGCTACCCCCCCCCCCCTCAAGGATCTACCTTTTTCGTGTGTTTGAGAGCCGGATGGGAAATAGTTGATATTCTATAACGTATTCCCTTCTCTTTATAAATCCTTCACTAAATACGCTTCGACTCGATCAAAGATTTCGCAGATCCTAAATTCTGCATTCCCTTCATATACACACTGAGTTTTTCCAAGCGACATACATTCGCGTACGGCCTCTTCTCGTGTTGCAAAAGAACGCAAGGTTGCATGCATGTTCTGTGTGTGTATAGGTTTTTGCATGCAGCAGTATGGGCTGTGAAGGTAACACGCAACAGGAGAGCAAAAATGTCATCCCGTATCACGACAAGTATAGATATGAAAAGAGGACCCTATTTCCACACCTCCCATATATAAGACGCATCGGGATTATAGATAATATCCGTGAACACGAAATCTATCGATATTTCCAGGGTTCAATACCCCTTGTATTTCAGCAATATAGTACCCTTTAACAGTATATATACCCTGAACACATATAACACCGCACGCATTATATTACACATACCCTATAGGACACTCTATGCAAGACACTATATAGAATATCTTGCAGGATGTCCTTTAGAATACTTTCTCTATGTATCTTAAAACTTTTCAGATGGAATGCACTGATATAGAATACCCTCATGCCTTATTGAATACCCTGGAGCCTCTAGAATACCTTATCATATACTTTCAGTCACAGCCTGTATATCTCTTGAATATCTAGAATACCTTACAAAATACGACATAGAATACCCTACAGAATACCTTATGGAACACATAGTAACCTCTGTATATCGTGCGCCTCATGGAAGACCGTCTGGAATACTCTATAGAAGACCTTACAGGATGCCCATATGGCCCTATACATGACAGTCGTTGTATACAGTATATATACCATGAACCCATATAACATTTAGTGGCTCAAAACCAAACTTTTCAACTTTTGGCCCCTAATAAGGTAATCTTGTTGCGAAAGTTTAAACTTCTTACACCCCCATAGGGATTTGGGAAGTAAGAGTACCTATAGATAACCTTTCAACGAGCCCAAGATCTGAGAACCCCTCATAAAGAAGCAGCCTATTGGGTAAGGGATTTCTAGGAGTGATCCAGGAGTCGAGGAGAATAACCTAAAGAATACCACAAACCTCAAAGAATTTCGTACAGGTGACCCTAGGTAATACGTTATAGAATATCCCCTATATACCTCATAGATACCTTCTTGAGTACCCTATAGCCGTATAGCCTACCTGGAGGTGCAAGAGGATATAAAAAAGAGTCCGCTGGAAGAGGCTGGAAAAAAACGACCTCGATAAAAAAACATCCTCTCGGAATGTGGGTGAAATGACTATTTCTGGTGTTTGTCGAGAGAGTACAAATCCTTGACAATAGCATGTCCAGAATGATGTTGGAAGTGCACAAAGGGACACTCGAAGCGATCTTTTTCCTTTGCTCAGCAGCAGATCTCCAGGTGAGCATAGACGACATATCGTTGGAGAGTTCGCCTCATGAGATAATAACTACCAACTCGGCGGCTTACTCGGCTGATCTTTCCTATGAAATCTTCGTCTAGCTGGACACTTGTCGCCAAAGCATTGACGACAAACTTGCAGGATTTTGCAGCAATGACCAATGCACGAAAGCTGTGGTGTAAGTAATGTGCTTTCGGTACCATCGGGAATCTTGACCGGCCTTCGGACATCGTAAACGAGGCAAGACGAGCATAAGCATGCAAGAATCGCATGCCGTGTCCTCCAGCCTCCGATGCTGCACTTGCAGGCATCCAGAAACCAGCTTCGTACAACAGATGAAAGCAGCGGTTGGCAGACACAAACCCAGACAATGCCTCCTCGGTAATTTGAGTCGGAACATAATCTCTCCGTTGAAGCAAGAAGAATTCGAGGAAAGCCATCAGAACCCTTGAATCGTTGAATTTGGACCACTTGCCTTCAGGACATACTTGAATCCCAGATTCCATACCAAGAAGCTCTGCATCCAAACGACCGCAGTGAAGTGTGAGCTTTGACTGTTTTTTCCAAGATAAGTATGCCTGAAAGATTCTATCCAGCTTCTGGTGCAAATTCCCTTCTTCCATATTTGGCAGAATCTCGGCAATAGTCGAAGCAATCATGTGTTTTGCCAGGCCTCCATGAAAGTTGTGCCAAACATCGAAATGCAGCTCTTGTGGAGCCCGATCATCATCTGCTGCTAGACCTAGCCCTCTGAGAAACGGCGGCTGCTGCAGCCACGGCAAAGTTTCAAAAAGAGTATAGGACCATTCAGGATTGAGGACAAAGTTTTCATACGGGATGTTGGGGGTGCCAGCAAGGCACTGCCAACAAATGCCAGCATCAGCCTGTTCGCCAGAAGCCTTTGCAACTCGAGTAAAGGACCGCTCCAAGTGACCGACCTTCGCAAGAAAAGGGTTGTCGCCAGTAAGCCCTAAGCAGACTGCGTGCCAGTGCTTTCCGTTGCAATCGCCAAATCCTTGTGTCTCCAACCTTCTGTAAGAGTCAGCAATCTGATAAGCGATATCGTCCCAAACAAACTCGGAGTTTTTGGCATACATCGATTTCGGAACGGCAATGTGCAAGAACCTGGAGCACATACTGCCCCCCATGTTCAAGCCCATATAGTGAAGCCTGTCAGTTTCTGAATGTTTTGCCTTGAAATGTTCTGTTCCTTTTCCAAGACAGCCCCTCATCGACCAGATCAATATGCCTTTTTTTTTCTTGCCCCGCCCCTCGTCGCCGTGACTGTAGAGTGGAATTGTAGAACCCAGCTGAAGAGAACCACTGGCTGCCAAGTCGAAAACTCGGTGGTTCGGCTGTAGTCTAGCGAATCGTCGCCAGAATTCCATCAAGTCGTGGTCACCATGCAATAAATGAAGTTTATCTGTCCCGGCCAGGCAAGTCATCATTTTGAAAGGATCTATCCAGGGAATACTCTTATGCGGACCAGCCTCGATTGAATCGATATCCACTTGGAGTGCATACCCAGCTGACTGCAGCCTCAGAGCTCGTCCGACTTATAATGCAAATGATGCATACATACCTGCGAACTACATACTTGTGAAATTTGAAATGCAACACCCCCAATTGCGAATAATTGTAGCGAGATGCTCTTGGAAAGTCTTTTGCTCCACACGGTTCTTGCTCCCCCTGGCCAGCCTTGCATAGATCGAAGAAGAGCAAGGCGGGTTCGGCTCTTCCAGTCGGGATTTCGCATCCTCCCAGATGCTGCTGCCAGTTGCCTTGATTGTTTTTGTTTTGTTTTTTCTTTTCGGTTTCGCGGGTTGCTTCGCTTGGTTCAACGGAAAAGTTTCTTGGGTAGCAGGGTCGCCGGATATTTTTGAGACTCTGGGTCCGGATGGTGTGGGTTTCAACTGTGACTTATATAGGGGCCAACAAGCTATGCTGGATAGCTGGGTAAGTTGGCAGGGAGGTAAAATAGGTAGGTAGCTAGACATACATATGTATATATATATATATACATACCTGTCTATATCTATATCTATAAAGATGTAGATGGGTAGATACAGATTGGAGATAAGAACAGCTATCTCAACAAGAATGCGTGGAGAACGGGGGGTATCAACCCAAACATACTTATTAGTATGGTATATATACATAGACCAACACATCGATAGATCGACCTTTAGGTCAGCCGTACAAACCTCGACACCCGAACCCTTTCCACAAAACTTAGGATTGAATCGTTCCTCCGAAGCCAATCCACAAAACTATAACTTCTCCGGGACATTCCTAAACCCCTTAAGCCGCTAACTTTCCCCTTAAAATAAGAGCCTCGCCCCAGAGAGAACCTCGAACTGAAAAAGCAGGGCCAACACTAAGCCCCTCAGCTAAGGCTATGCATATCCTAGAAGACCCAAAAGAACCCACCTAAGTACTTCGACTAGAATCTCGCGACTAAGTCCAATGGATATTGTGTTAGCCTGATCACACAAAACCCAAGCAAAAGGCTTCACTAGAATTTGTAGAGCAATCCCTGTTTAAATTCTACATAGCCCTACATAAGCAAAACCTCTACCTAGCCTTAGCTATATATTTAAATTACATTATATACAAACCTTAATCCCTTGCTCGCCGTCTTCGCCGTGGAGCCCCTTGAGACAAACTTCGAGCAAGGCGGAGGTGCCGGACATGTTCACCTGGCGTGTGCGGGGTTAGGGTTTTTTTAGATTGGTTTCATCATGTTGAGGTGCTTTGTAATTGAAGACCCACACAGGGTCACATACACCAGCACACACACACACACATTTCATCATTTTGCTTTCGCCGACAGTCAGCCACAGGCCTCCCCATTAGGCCAGGTGAGCACACATGCACCCGCACATGAAGCAGCTGAAGCACGGCTTGCATATAGTCAATTGAAACATTGCACATGTGCACATGTGTTCTAATGTCCCTGTGCTCCGGCACTTCCTACTGTGCGGGGTCTAGCATGTATTGCA